TGTGATGCACCACGATACATGAGCACGAGGTCCCTCGTCAGCTTTGCAAGGACTCTCTCTTTTATGCTTTTCCCACACTTTTCTTCTTTCCTTCGCCCTGTCGCCCTGTGTCTGATCTTCCCTCGCTCGTTCAAGCCGACTTGCACCTGAGGCATGGATGCGCGGCCGCGTGATCTCGGTGATCACTGGTCACATCGTGGCCGCTGCCGATATGCACCAGATCTCCGGTACTACTAGTACCGCAGTTCTCAGACCCATTCCAGCGTGCATGAGAGGGGCGTGGTTTTAGAAACGCGGTATCCAACCGGTATTTTTCCCAGAATGGAATTTGTGGACCACTTGCATCACGTGCTTTGGTCCACAGATTCGTTTGCGAATGTGTGTGTAGACTGTACAGATAATGTGGCAGTGCCGTCCTGCCTTGTCGCGTGGCTAAGTTGTAGATACAAAGACGTTTGCAGGTGTTGTTGACCTTCTCAATAAAGCAACGCGAGAGGCGCATCTTCCGTGCCACATGCTACAGCCACTGCCCTGAATTTTTGCTGGGTTTCCATAGCTGAAGGATTGAACAGCCCGAAATACGACATGAGTCGAAAGTGAGACATACCTAGCTTCACTATAGGCTTCGCTTGGATGCTGAAAGCTTCTCTTTGTCTCTATACTTCTTTGGTCGCAGGCACTGGTCCAGGCCCCAGGCGTTCTGCTGTACTTTGATGCCGAGAGCTTTCAGTCAAACTGGTTGATAGGTTTGGCTTTGTAGCTTTGTCTGGACTGGAATTTCCGAGTTCTGGCCAGGCAAAGCCAGCAAGTGCTATTTCCGCCATGAGCCTGCAGATATGGACAGCTGCGAGCCGAAAAAGGGGGGAGCCCCTGAAATTGTCCACACTTTGCCGTCTAAGCGCTGTGCTCCGACTTTCCTCGATGCACAAAGAACCAGCGATATGTCCGCTGTCCCAAAGCCGTTCTTGGTTTTTTGCCATCTCGGTGCGAGGCACTCATCAGCCCCTGAATGAATGGAACATAGTACGTGGCATAGCAAGTGACGAAAAGCTTCTGGTCGCAACATTGACACCCAGACGTACGGTGATTGCTGGAAGGCGAGCAATGAATCTAAGACTTTAGCAGGCACACATGCCAACGGCAGCGGAATGCGCGTGCCATGGACATGGACGGCCGCGCTGGCCTTCGCGGTTGCATCTCGTGCACCGGCCTTCTGTGGCCAGCCGCGACACTGCGCCGCGCCTGGAGTCCTCAGCTTCCGCCCTCGCTCTCACAGCACAGGGCCAGGGCCTCTCTTCCCGACAGCCCGGACGGCCCAAGCCGCCCAACGGACGCGAGCCGAGCGGGGGTCCCGCGCCAGCCGGGTGAGCCGAGCAAAGGCGGCCACTGCAAGCAAGGCGAGGTTCTGCTGCCGCTCGCCCATGGCCCTGCAGTAATACTATGTAGCTGTAAGTCCTAGTAACACTAGTACTTGCAATTACAGCAATACTGCCAAAAAGAGTAATACGAGTGACAACAGCGATAGTTTAGGAATAATCACGTTATTTGCAGGTGGAGGCGGTGGAGCAGTATCTGGCCCGCATCGGAGGCTCAGCCAAGATCCGCGCCTTGAAGAGCGCTCTGGCCGGCCTGGACCGCGACTTCCTGCATCTCTGACCCAAAATATCCAAAATCCCTATCCGGGTTTTGGGTGTCAAGGGTTTCCTTCTCCTCTTCAGAGCGCTTCCTTCAAGACGCCGAAGCTGGCCGAAGCCACTTCGGCATGTCCCCAGGCAGAAATATTTTGAAGTCACTTCTGACGACGTTGTCAAGTCGAGGAAGGTGGGCTGCTGGACATGGCGGGAATGCAGGATGTGTAGTGCTGCGCGCGTGGTTCTTGTCAGGGTCACCAAAGACACGAACGAAATATCAAGGAGCACCCTGACTGCAAGCGCCGGCCCTGGTCGCAGCACCTGTGCATGACTATTCTGCATCCGAGGTTCCTGAAGAGCAAGGGAAGTGCTCCTTTGACGCTTGTCATGGAGACCTTCTCGGTCCCCAGAAGGTGGCTGGCCTCGCACGAAGACTTCCTGGCTCCTCGGTGGAAAGACCTGCTTTTGAACGCCCTGTCGTCTAGACCCGATTGCTTGTGCTTCGAAACGTGATGCCCTGCGTGGACGGAAACAGGTTCAAGGCGGACGCATCCGGCTCCGTGTGCGCCAGACGGATCAGCCGGAGGCGGGACCCGCTGCTCGAATCCCAGCTGCACCTTCAGCTCGGAGTTACAGCAGCTTCGGCAGGTCGAGATCGTGGAGGATCATGTTGGTGTTTTCCGGATGCGGCCGAGCTCAGAGAGGACGGCGCAACAGGAGATCGCCCGTTTGAGGATTTTCTTGATGAGCCAGGCCGGGGGTTCTTCGGAAGAGACGGCGAGAAGCTGCGGAGTCTCTTTTCGCAGGTGGCGCGCTTGCCCACCTCCGTGCAGAGCAACGTGTGCATCTCAGAGGCCACAGGCAGGGGAGAAGCGGGCCTGAACCGTTGTACAGCTCAGGCGCTGCGCCGCCTCAAGGGCATGTGGCATCCGGATGCCGGGGGCCCAAAAGGGGCGGCGGGCCGCCAAGGAAAGTGAGCAGAAGTAGCGACAGTGGATACCAGAGATCCCTTTCCAGGCTGCCCCTGGTCAGTATCTTGGACACGACGCTGTCATCGCAGAGGCCCTCTTTCTTTTTTTTGTGGGTCCGCGTTTCCGGCTTTGGCGCTGGGGATGTTGGCTTAGTTCAAAGTACCAGCTCCCGGAGCCGAAGAAAAGAGCAGAAAGGGCGCAGCTGCCGGGGGGGGGATGAGGCAAAACCCCAGAACCGACCGCAAAGGAGGGCAACACGGCAACGAATCAAGCCACAAGTATCTCCCTTGCGGCCGATGCAGTATGCTGTGCTGTATGCCACACAGGACTGCTAGTTCAGGTAATGCACAGCAGTAAGTACAGCATAGTCATAGTCAGCGTCGTATCGTGCACCATAAACTATCAAGTATCCGCGTGTGGGAAGAGTTCGCAAACGACTGCTGTAGAACCTAGTGCAATGCACAGTCTTGTAAGTTTTTGCCGGCATTTCGCGATGTCGTGGCGATGTCATGTATTTTCTGCGACTATATCGGCCAACAGTAGTGCTGTGCAGTGAAGGACTCCGAGCGAGAGAGAGCGAGAGAGAGAGATAGAGGGTCCACAGCCCTGGCGAAAGAAAGATAGAGGGGGGTCAAGCTGTCCTAGCCCTGGCGAAAGAAAAAGAGAGAAACCCCAAGCAAAGCAAAGCAAGGTAAGCTAATTGTAGTTTGCCAGAGGAACTCAGAGAGAGAAGAAGAGAGAGAGAGAGAGAGAGAGAGACCGAGAGAGACAGAGAGAGCGAGACTCGTGCGAGGTCTTTCGCTTCCTCTGCTCCGTGGAGGTCGCAGCAACCGGACTTCGCATCCCACCATCCGAGGGATAAAAGGAGCAAAGCCAAGGGGCGACTGAATCTTCCGCTGCGCTGCCGTGCCGAAGCTTCAAAAGTGGCTTTCAAACGGAGCATTTCCATTCCCACATGTCAAGATCCGAAGACCCAGCACATGTGCAAACTTCGACCCCCTGCAGCCTCAGCCTTTAGTTAGCCATGGGCAGCGCTCGGCTGTTCGCTGGGTGCCGCGGGTGGGGCAATGCGACGAGTGCACGTCTGACGCACCTTCCCTGTCAGCCATTGCTGCTGTCGTTCAGGTCATGGAGAGCTTCCAGGAGGACGCGCGCGCGCACGCTCGCAGTGTTAAATGACACCTCCCTAGAATGCCCTGGAATGATCATGATGCATTATAGAGTTATATAGATACAGCCGTCATCGATGGTGCTTCTGCGAAGTGCCAAAAAGTGCATATATGCAATTATACGTATATGTACAAGTACATACGTATTTGAGTATGTAAGCATACATATATATATATATATATACACACACACGCATAAATACATACATGCATACATGCATATGTATACATAGTGGTATGGATGTTAATGTTGATATCGACATTGATATTGGGAAGTTCCAACGTCCGTTTGCGGGCAGGACTTTGCGGAGTGCATCTCCAGGAAGGACTTCCGAGCTGCTACAGAGCTCTGCAAGCAGCAGCTGCAGAAGACTCCAGACAGCCGATATGTCTGGGAGCCCGGACTGCGCCCCTTCTCGGTTCGAACCCAAATGAGCACAGTGCAGTGCGCGGGTGTGAGGTTCTGGACTTGAGGAAGACCGTCGAAGCGTTCCTCGATGCCGCCGAGGAGTTGGAGGCTCCGAGAAGGAGTCCCGCAGAGAGGCAGAAGTGCAGTCGTTTCTTGCAGTTGCAGGCTCAGCAGGAAGATTTGGAGGAGGAGAAGGGTGGCAAGGGGCCGGTGACGGCAAGTGACCTGAACTGTTTCGATGTGGTTGCGCAGGAGCTGTTGGGCTTTGATGAGCTGTCGGATGAGGCTCCGGCTCCAGCTGGCTCGTCCAGCCGGTTTCGAATAGCTCTCTCTCTCTCTCTCTCTCTCTCTCTCTCTCTCTCTGGCGTATGGAGGCGGCTGTCGCCTGTGACAGGGCTTACGAGGCAGGCAGACGGTTGGGCTGGCGGAGACAGTGCGGCGAGCCCACGCAGTGCCGGAGGCCATGTTCGCCTACTTGCACGACGAAGAGCGTCTCTGGGCCGTTGGTGAACAGGCATGCGAGGGCGAAGGGCACACGTCCAGTGAGCTTCTCTGTCTTTGTCTCTGTGCTCTCGCTTTGAAAGTCGCTTTCGGCTAAAAAGGCCGTGGGAATCTTCTGGGACACTGGGCAGCTGGAGCCTGCTGGACCTCGCCGAGCTCCTTGTCGACAGAACACTTTCTGCAACGGTGTCTTTTGGGGTGTCCCTTCGGGTCCTGGAGCTTCTTGCGAGGATCGCCTGAAGTCTATGGCAGAGACCTTGACGAGGACCCTGAGCTCCCGGCTGAAGCCCCTTGGCCGTGGCGTAGCTCTTCCCCCGCTCTTTTTTGGGGGCATCTTTGCTCCGATAGACTGGGTCTGAGGTTGGCAAGAGCCAGCGGCATCGACAACGACGCTTGCCTCTTTATCAATTTCCGCCAGACTCGGTCTCTCTTCGGAGTGAGATGAGGAGTGGCTCTTCGAGGCCTTGGGCGAGCTCTGGTTCTTCCAGGAGAGAGCCCCCAAAGAAAGCGCAGCGAATCCACTGGGTTCACTTCTCTCGCCTCGAGCTCCGGGGCTGCGAGGAGCTCGGCCTGGCCCTTGAGCCTTGGCTGACGGAGGCCTGCGAAGAGGCACCGAATGGCCGGGCGCCGGCTCCGCACCTCGCCCGCTTCCGCTCTCACCTCGCAGGGGCTGAGGGGCCTCAAGGGCAAAGTCATGGAGGAGCGCACAGCGGAGCGGAGCGGAGGGGAGGGCTTGGGCCTCCGTCCGACTTTGCGGTGGCGCCCAAAACGTCAGGAGCTCGCCGGCTTCAGCCTGGAAGGCGCGCATGTTTGCCCGGTAGAAGCGGAGCGGAGCGAAGGGTCCCATGACCATGGGCTTGTCTTCGCCCTTTTTTCTGCGAGGCTTGAAGAGCGCCTCCTGCGGAGAGCTCTGTGACACGCTCATGCAGGCCGACGGCCTGCATGAGCAAGCGTAAACGACAGCCAAAGCCCCCCGGCTTCCTTGCTGTTTGTTTTGCGGCGGTTTGGCGCAGGTGTGGACCGTCGAGCGGAGCTCCGTTTGTGGCCTTCTGAACACGTCGCTCGGAGCGAGAGCTTCCTTCCTCCCTTTGCAGGCCTGAGCCAGCCCTCCCCTTCGCTTGCGAGGCCTCCCCTGGAGTACGGCGTCCGCGAGGCCCTGGCGGCCCTAGCCGCGCCGCTGGAGCGCCGCCTGCAGCGCCGCTGGAGCACGAGCGCAGGTGCTGGCGGAAGTTCGGAGGCGGCCTCTCATCTTGCCCCCGAAGCCGGGCTTTTACCACTGCTTCTACTTGATGACGCCGCTCGGCGCGGAGAGACTCGGAGATTTTTTGGTAACGCTGGCCCTTTGCTCAGGCATGTGGTGTACACTCTGAACTGCGACCGCCTCAGACGACAGGATGCAGTGCTTCTCCGGAGTCCGCATGTCTGCGTAGCTCCTGCCTTCGCCTTCGCAGGTTTCAACGGTCACTTGCCAAACCGCCGCAGTGACTGCCCGTGGCCTGGGGTTCAGTGAGAGCTCTGCAGACTGCCGGTGACATTGGAGCTCCACTGATGGAGCTCTGTGCTCACTCCGAAGGCTTTACGCCTACCTCGAGTGCTGCCTCGAGTTCTGGATGTCGGGTCCCCGACCCCAGGACGGAGCCCTGGGCCGGAGATGCCTGGCGCTTTGCAGGACCGTGGCGTCTGCAGAGACCTCTGGGATGTCGGCCTTGCAGGGGGAGGCAACTCCTCACCTACCAGAAGCGGCAGCTTCTATTTGTCCGTTGTCCGTGTAGGCGGTGGATGCCATTGCAGCCTGGCGTGCTTAGGGGTCAGTGCTTTGGTGCTTTTCAGGAGTTTTCACAGAACTCCATGCCGAGGCTGAAGCAGTCGACTGCTTGCGTGGATTGAACGAAAGCTGCTCGCAAGCGACGATCAGGCGCGCAATCGGCTCGACTCGAGATTGCGGTTTGCGCTTGGTGTGTGCGGCTTCGGCAGGGCGTGCAGGTGGCTTTTGTCTCGGCAACAGGCCAGGAGCCGCCTTGTCCAAGGGTGTCCAGAAAGGTGCCTTGATTGCCCTCTCGATTCTCGATTCCGAGGCCGATGGCTTCTTCGTGTCTCCCAACTCGAGGAGGCTCCGGCTCGGTCCAAGACTTCGGCTTTGGGCATACCGCTGCATACCCCGCTGCATATCCTTGCCCTTGCATCTTGGCAGACCTGAGAACGAGTACGACCACCTGCATCCCACCTGGACAGCAGCGGCTGCCTTGATGCGGCCTCAGCCCTCCCCGAAGCCTCCGCGGAGATCTGGCAAACAGCACTGTCCCCCAGGCAGCTTCAGCGCCAGGCCGCAAATTCTTGAGGGATCTCTGCGTCTCGCTTCCCTGAACGGAGAAGGCGCCGGGTCCCAGTCGGCTTTGTGCGTGCTGGGCGCGACACGCCCGAGAGGCGGCATCGGAGGCGCGAAGAAGCGATGCTTTTCTACTTCTTCTATACTAGGCTTTCTACACCTCTACAGATACTTCGTTTCGTCGAGTTTCTGCTACGAACCCTGATAGCTTTCAGGTGGGCTTCTCGCAGCCGCCGGCTTGACGACTCGGAGCACTCAGTAGGCGCAGCAGTGCAGATCCGCCAGCAAAGAGCTCCGTCACGAGTACGTCAGAAGCATGACACCCTACAAGCCGTACAGTACTAGCTTGAGTCCGTGCTCTTACTGCTGTTTTTGGTGGCTTCCTCGCTCGCGATGCCCTTCATGTTGCTGTTACACTGGTTTTGCCAAAGCCAAGTCTCAGCGATTGCTCACTTTGCCCTGTGCCAGGCCCAAAGTGGGTCTGATGGCACGAAGAGACTGGGAAGACGACTACGGCGCGAAGTGCAGCTCGACAGACGAAGCGCGCGACAACGACGGTTCTTGTGCGACGAGTGGCAGCAAAGCTCAAGTGAGCTCTCCGCTAGCTGTTGCGGTTTTGCTGGAGAAAAGTGCTCTGCCACATCAGGGATGGGGACTGACGATCGACTTGGCTCTTGCATTCTTCTCTCGGGTCGGATCTGCTGCGCGAGTGATCATATGAGAGGCGGTCTGAGACAACATGTAACATGATTGAAGGCTAGTCCAGGCAAGCGTACCATAGCAGAACTGTGACTGCAGAATGCCCTGGCAACGTGCGAGCGTAACAATGAGTGTAGTATTGCTGGCATATACAGTCGCCAGGATACCGCAGATGACAGGCTTCGGCGCAATGTTTAAGCAGCCGGCTGCAATGAACACGTGCATGCACGGGCATCAGCGATGGGACTGCTGATGGCATGGAGTTGCTTGGTTGAAGTTCCTCTGCACGTGGCAACGATCCCTGCAGTTGCACCTCAGGTTCGGGGGCTGTCGGAGTTGTAGAGGCGAGGAAGGGAGGGACACCAACATCTCCGAGAGTCGTCGGATTCTCCGATGGGTCCCCGGGTCCCCCCTGGCCCCTGCCCAACTGGCGCCAGGCTGAGACATGGCGGTGCCCGCGCGAGCTTTGGGGTTGCAGGAGGGCTACTCCCAGGACCGCGGACCGGACCGGAGACCTCCGAGTGGGCCTTTAGCAGCTGGCTCCCCGCCAAAAGAAGCGCGCACCGCCGCTTGGGAAAGGAGCAATGGGGTCCGTGGCGCAGCTTCGGATTGCCAGCTCCCTGAGTTTTCCCCCGGGCCGCGAGACCCGACGTAACACATGTCGCGGCTTCTTCCTGGGCCCAGGCTGGTGCAGCAGGCGGTGTCGGAGCTGAGTTGGCAGGCGAAGCGTTCTGTCCCTGTAGCTTCTGCCCCCATGTGCCTCTTCTGCAAGCAAGCAAATGCGGGCGCAAGCTGCGGAGCCGCGAGCCGTCAGCGCAGCTTGGCTCGAGCCGAGAGAGCCGGGAGTCGCCGCTATGAGCAGGCAGAGAGAACTGGGAGTCTACAAAAGCCACCAAGCAGAGAGCAGAGAGCAACGAGCCAGCAGAAGCCGCTTTTGTGAGGCCCGTCTCCGAATCCCTTCCCGGAGCCCGAGCGGGAAGGAGGCCAGCGGGCCGGTTCTGTGGCTCCAGCTCTAAATGTCTGGCAGTCTTGCAGGTTTGGTGTTCTTGACGTTCCCTCACCGTCTCTGCCATGATCACGGTGCCTGTCTCGTCTTTGCCTACGGATTCATTGATGTTGGCGTTGGGGACGGTGAGCACCGTCAGGGTCACAATCGGAAAAAGACGCCATGAGAGGCAATGGTCCGCAAGCTGTGGTCTGTGGCCCAGCCCATTCAGAGTAGGAGGAATGCGATTAGGGCAAGCACCTCAGAAGGCGAAGTCTTTTCAAGGCCACTTGCTTTCGGCCGCAGGTTCTTTGCACTGGTTTGGGGCAGTACTTCGGAGGCGATTGCGGCTTCGGGTGCAACACTCTTCGATTCTTGACCTCGGCAGGAGTCTCGGCTGATGAGGGCAGGTCCCGGCCGCGAGCTTGCGATTCCCTCAGACTGTTTGCTTGTGCGTGCTCCTGCCATCTCGTGCCTTTCCGAAGCTCTCCTTGAGGCCGGAGCCGTGTCGCTGCAGGCGGTCACCTTTGCTCCCACCCAGTGCTTGGCCCTTTGCACCCATCGCCAGGTCCTTCCAGACGGCTCACTTGGACATAAGCATCCTGCGAGGCAGAGAGCTACCGCTGCAACTGCTTCCGTGTTTGGCTCGCATGGCGGTTTTTTTTGTCATCTTCAGTGTAAGTCAGGCAAGTCGCAGCCGTGGGCCCGGGCCACCGCGAGGCAGAGAGCCACCGGCTGCAGACGTGCCACAGGCGGAGACCTCTGAGTTGCATATGGAGGATGCCCTGCAGCAGACGGCTGCGGTCCTTCACCACCGAGCTAGATGCTTGGCGATCTTGGGGGTTGAGCATCGAATGGCACAGAGCACAACACAGGCTTCGACTCAACGGCAAAGACATCTGTAGCAGGTCACGCACCCATCACACCCTCGTCGAGAGTACGATCCCAGAGCGGAGGAGAAGGTTACGGAAGTTTAGTGCAAGATGCCCTCCGACTGTAGCATGGCGTCACTGTTCTCCGAAGAGGCGTGGCACGAGCTCGAAGACAAAGGCACGATGGGTGACATGGAGGATGCCACGAAGCTGTAGAAGTGATCTTACTACGCTGTGCAGCACAGCATGTCACAGCCGATTGTTCTCGTGGGTCGAATTCAGGACTTGCCACTCGTTTCCGGGCCGCACGACTCGCCGGGAGCTGAGGCGCCAAGCCAGAGGATGCTCCGGCGTGGCACCCCAGCAGATGCCGGCTTCCGAGGTGGGAGGGATCTTCGAGCCGGCTGAAGCCACACTCCTTCGTGCCAGCCTCAGCGACTTTGCGACGCGCTGTTGGCGCTGTAGGCGTCGAGCCCTGGTGCTTCTTCGCAAGTTTGAGGACTGGGAGCTGCCCTCTGAGAAGTGGACCTCCGCGCTCTCCTCGCCCGAAGGCCCCGCGCCCCGGGCCTCTGACAGTGACGACGTGGGAGCCACTGGGGGAGCCAGAGGCGACCTGGCACCGGGCGCGCCCGGCGTGCAGGCGACGCGCCGTTTCCTTTGGAGGCGTCGTGCGGAGACGCGCAGAGAGCCCACATTGGACCAGGACGAAGCCGAGGAGCGGCGAACCGCCAAACGTCTTGTCAGGAGCTTCCCACCTGCTTCCAAGGGGCGTCCCTTTAAGATCATGGGGCAACCACCATGTTCAGCTGAGAGGAACGTGGATAACTCCTTGCTGGCCATGGTGGTGCGCATCGGCGATGGTGTGGGCGCTTGCCTCGATGGTCTCCTTTCCAAGTTTCGCTGAGTCTGCGCTTCGGCAACCCGCGGCACCCCCCTTCCGCGAGGCCCCATTACGTACTCGAGGCCGAGGGTTTGCTCCGATGATTCTTCTTTCGCACAGTCTGCCCTTGAAGGTCACCTGGAGTCCACCAGAGCTTGAACCGCGAGCTTCGGCAAAGACTCGTTACGCAGGCCGGGTCTGGCGTCTACACTCGTCGCGACAGATGTGAGTACGTACTAGGTAGAAGTTCGAGCATGCAGGAGGCGAGCTGTAGCTTCGTAAATGACATCAAGTCAAGGTCCGAGACAAAGCCAACGATCACGTGCCATTCTTCCATGCATGAAGTGTCATCACTTCAAATTCGCTTCTGACGAGTCTGGCACCGACACTTGCATGGGAGGGGCATGTGGTGGGACAGAGTTCGCATGTAAATGCATAATGTTCTGCGGAATCGAAGTCGGTCGTGCCATAGTGGCGGGACAACACTTCCCAGCCTTGATGCTTGCGGAGGACATTGCTGCCGTCGGCTTCTTGTAGCTTGGACGGCATATCGGCCCCCGCCACCTGATGACGCAGTGCATGGCGTCACGGCGTGTGACGAGGCTTTTCGTCCTCGGGGTTGCTGTTTGGGTGAGCTGCCTGGGCGTCTACCAATTCGCCGACGACCCGTCACAGGCAGAAGCTATCGCAAGGAAAATCGCTTTCTTTGTGCCTGTACACCCTGGAAGGTGCTCTTCTACACAGACCCGAAGCGCGCGGCACAGCCACCACGGACGCCGCACCGCAGTTGGGGCACAAACTGGCAGCGCTGCAAGGTATGCACAGCATCGGGTTCTCTGCACTTCTAGCGACCAGGAGTCTTTCCTGGAGGTGCCCCACCACTTCTCTTCGCTTCTTGTGCGTTGGAGCATCGTCAGGCCTTCAACACGCAGCCACACCGTGCCACGAAGCATTGCTGCAAGTAGCGGTTCGCTTTCTCGAATTACACCTCGTCGCCTAGTCGCATACCCCTTTTGTCGGTGCTTTCTGGGATTAAGGCTGCGCCTCATTGGCAGAAGGTCTTCGACGAGGACCTTCGCCACGCTGCATGCCTCCTGAGCCGATCACAAACAGACATGCAGGACCGGCGGGTGCTGCGAGCTCCTGCGAGGCGGAAGACCGCGCCCCCAAATCTGAGAATGGAGAGTGGAGTCCGTGGAGTCCGTGGAGTGTGTGGAGTCCGTGGAGTGTGTGGAGCTGAGCTGGCTCTTTTGCCGCAGGCTCCTTGGCCTCGGCGCTGGCGCGCGCGGCGGGCCGTTCCCGGCGCTTCCTGCTTCCGGGCCGCCGGAGCGGGGAGCCACCGTGCGGGAGGCGCCGTCAGAGCTTGCCTTTTGTTTGTGCAGGAGGCCGGTTGCAGATGCCGACATCTTGTTCGACGTCTCCTTAGACCTCAGCTCGCAGCTGCCTTATTCTGCGTCTCCTTGGACGCCCTGGACCTTTATTGCACAGAAACATGACCATCATCCCCGGGAACATTCCCACAAACATCCCTTATTTCCGGTACTCACGGTACTGAGGGTAAACAATCAGAGTATTTACGCTTCGCTTGTGCGAATGGCACTTGGCGCGGAAATGCCCTTGTCGCTCAGCATTGTACAGTAGTCGTAGTCTTTGTATGCGCACTGTGAGAGGGCCCATCGGGGATCATCCGACAGCACTGGAGCGATGAGCTAGACATGGGCACCGTGAGAGCCATGTCTAGGACACGGGCACTGCGAGAGGGCCCGTGTCGGTTATTTGGGGGAACATCCGACAAAATTGGAGCGATCGGCTAGACATGGGCACTGTGAGAGGGCCCCATGTGGATCGTTTTGGTTTATAACCGGATAAGAATGGAGGTGATTCCGAGGGGGACGTTGTGATGTGATGTGTGTGTGTGTGTGTGTGTTTGTGTGTGTGTGTGGGTGCGGGCGTGGGTTTTGGGTATTGTGGCATGGTTGGGGGGATGTTTGGTGGGATGTTTGAGAGAATGTTCATGGGGATGATCGTCCCCATGTTGCATCGATCGCCGAATGTGTGGGTGGCCACGCCAAGCCGCTAAGCTTCAGCAGCGCATTTTCTGAGGTTCATATCGGGTGAGGGCCAGCTGGCATCCCAGGACGAGGTGTGCAGCAGAGCTTCCTAGAGCACAGAACCAGCTCGTTGCCTCGTGCCCCAGGGAAGAAAGCTGGAAGGCCATCTGATCAATAACAATCCACTCCAAGTGCTGGTGCTGAGGCTCGGATCCGTCAATCACACATGGAGACAGTTCACAGTTTGACCCGACCCCCTTTGCCAGGAAGCGAGTTCTTTGGGTCTGCTGCTTAGAGAGGGCTACTGTAGACACCGTTGCGAGTACGTCGCTGCTGCCCCAAAAAGGCCAACTGGGAGGATATGGCCACCAACATCAAGCAGAAGCTTCGCGGAATGGGTGCGGAATTCACGTGTGGATTGAATTGATCCACTCTGTGAGAGCTTGACGCAGGATTCCGTGGCGAAGTGGAAGTTCGCTTTGACTCTCAGGAGACGTCGCTTCGGGAACGATCTTGTTGGTTGATCGGTCCATGTTTCCACAGCAGCACTTGAACAGGAGGACCTGCGGATTTACAGGACCCCTGCGTTCGGGATGTGCAGACATTGCAAGCAGTGTAATCTTGACCTGGAGGCTTCAGGGCAATCCATTGACATGCTTCGTGTCTTGGCACAGGAACCTTCGATGGCAGAATTTTGTCCGCACGCCCATCACCCACATGCTTTCGGTACGCGCCCCAACGCATCGTGCCCCTGCCCAAAAGTCGACCCAATGAGTTCTGCGCAGGTGCTCTCTGGCATTGGAGTATTGTTTTGGGTGCCCTACCTCTACTGCCGCTCTGATGTAGCATCTTGGCCAGAAGAGCAGGCTTGTGTACAGTGTGTACAGTGTACAAGTAGTAGAAATTCAGTAGAATTGTGAAAGCAAGGTAGTTGTGGAGACCAACTTCCAGATTCAAGTCGATGTTCATCGGCCGGCTACCCAGGGGTGAGGGAGGGGACGGAAGACGGGCTCGCGGATTTTCTGATCTCGGGCAGGTACTGGGAGATGCTGTCGCAAGGACCCCGACGAGGGCTCTTACGGTACCCTTAAGTAGGAACCCTTAAAGGAACCCTGAGAGGGCTGAGAGAGCACTCGCCTCTTTGACGCCCTTCTTGCAGGGCTGGACATCTCTGAGGGCTTCCGCACTTGACGTCGCTGCCGGTGGGAAAAAGTGAAAAGGGTGGTTACCACCTGTGCCTGCCTTGGTCTTGGTGCTGACAGTGCGAGAAGGATGACAAGCTCTTTTCCTTGCCTCGCAGGAGAACGCCACACAGCTGATCCAGCTCTTCAAAGAGCACGCCAGGAAGAAGGATGGATACCTAAGCAGCCTACTCGGACGCGGCGTGGCTTGCAAATCCTGTCCTGAAAGTGGCCAAGGTAAGGATGAGTTCATTACTGTGCTTCAGAAGTGAGCCGTTTGAGTTTAAGTTTGCATCCTTCCCGGAGCTTGGCATGTAGAAGTGGCCCGAAGTGGTGGCCGCAGGTATCCTTGCTGCAACTCGGCCTACCACACCGTCTTCTTTGACCTTTTCGATCGGAATGAGGATTTCGGGAGATGATTCTGCGATCGGGCATCACTCTCTGACAGCAGAACTTGCCCAGGACGGCTTCCTGAGCGAGTCGGATTTCCTCGGTGGGATGCTGGCGGTGAGTCGGCGCCCCGTGATGTTTGCCATCGCAAGGCATGTCCGAACCCAACTCCTCGGGTGCCCTTGTCTGGACCGAGATATCCATGGACAGCATGGAAGGACGTAATGTGCAACGCCGTAAATCCCTGATCGTAGCCTGCACTCACAAGGCCTGACAGCACGCATGCACCGCCACCCCTCCCAAAGAGTAGACATCGCGGACTCAGCCCAGAAAGCGGGCGAACGTGGGCCCGAAACCCCGCTGCGCGGACGCCATGGCTGCGAAGCCCACGTTTCTCTCGGTCTGATCCGATGTTCGGCAAGGGCCGGGGGAAGAAGGGCAAACTGCCCGAAACGAGGCCAAGCTCCTGGGCCATCCAAGGCGGCGCCGCCGACAAGATCATCAATACGCCCACGCAGCCTCCTAACAAGAAGGCGAAGAAGGGCGATGGCAAAGGGAAAGAGGAGAAAGCCGAACCGAAGATGGCCAACGAGCTGGCGAAGAATCAAGCGACGGAGGAGCAAATCGAGGGCATCTGCGATCTCCTGCGCTCCAACAAGGTCGAGAAGGCGCTGCAGTTTGTCCAGAAGGTGGGGCTCTGAGCTCTGCGGAACAAGTAGGCTCGAAGGGTTCTCGCGTCAGTCTCTTTGCAGGAGCTTGGAGACGTGTCGAAGTCCAACTCCATGTCTGTCAAACAGCTTGGCCAGCTGGTCAACGCCGTCGGCCTCAGGACACCGCAGGAGCCTTCCTCTAACAGAGCCGCGCTCCTCGAACTGCAACTGTGTCTCTTCTAGCTACTCGTGTATGGTTCGCCTACAATGGGTTTCCTCGTGCTTCTCAATGTCTGTCTGTGTATGTGGAGAGGTGTGTGGGTGTGTGAGTGTTCGCATATCTACATATCTACATGCAACCACATGGTTGTGCGCCGTGCGACCCAGCCGCCCCGCCTCGCCCGCATGCCATCTCCCCCATGCCAGCCTGAACCCTGAAGCCTCAACCCTGAAGCCTAAAAAACACCCTACCGTTTCAACCAAGACGGGGCCAAGCTGTGCGGATGACCATGTTATGTAGCCCTGTGGCCACATGTGTGTGTGTATATATATATATATATGTATGGCTGTATGTATGTATGTATGTATGTATGTATGTGTATGTGTGTATATATATATATGTATAAGTATAGTATACATCCATCTCTCTCTCTCTCTTTCTCTCCCCTCCCTCTCTCGCTCTCACTCATTCATCAGACATGCATACATACATACATACATACATACATACATACAGCCATACCCACATATGAACATATATACATATATAGATAGCCAGGTGCTGTGTCTTCACGTCAGTCCTTGATCTGGCTTGGGTGTCCGTTGGAGGAGCTTGCGCTGAAGTTCCTGGATGCCCTGGATGCTTTGGGCTTGCCCAAATTCCCTTCCTACGGAGCCCCCGGGCCCCAGAGAGACAGGCTATAAGTCAGGGTTCGACCGTTAGTGCTCGGTCGGTGCACAGCATCTCAACAATAGTGGCAAGATGACGAGATGAATAGACAAGAGCAGTGAGACTCACTAAGACTCAGTCTGGGCACGTGAGGTAGAGCGGTTGTGTTTCCCGGTGCTGAGGCACACTCTTACTTCGGCCGCTTCGCCCGATGGGCCCTGAGGGAGTTCTTGTCCGAAGCGGCATCGGCTGTGGACCAGGCCGGCGCCCCGCACATAGTTCGGAGACAGTGGGCCGGGTCAGCAGAGTTGGACGTAAGCTTAAAGTAGAAGCTAGCAAGTGACTCTTCTTGACAACGAGCTTCGCACTGTCCATACCTTTCGACACCGGAATGAATTGACTGAGTACAGTCTCGGCGGGGTTTGAGGCCACAGCGACTCCGGCGCACATCCTCGAAAGGCTCGGTGTCTGCATCCCCATGATGGAGGCCCACCGTCATCGTCCGTGTCATCATTACGAGTTTTGGATTCCGTTGATTCTCGGCCATGTGTTGTGTGGATTGGATTCAGGCAGCGCCGTCGGAGAAGAGCCCTTCGCATGTCATGCTGAGCCCTTGTGCTGGCTTGCTTCCGGCCGGTCACGGCTTTCAGCGTGGCGATTGGTTGCTTTGCACCTTCCCGCCGACGGGGACACCGGGCATCAGCGTCACCACCCGGGGCGACGTGAGCGTCGAAGCCGAGGTCGTGAACATCACGCCGCCCCCTGGGCAAGGCATTCTGGTGAGGATGGTGGGGGAGCTCGGGAAGAACGCAGGCGCCGACATGGGCCGACTCCGCCTCTCGCCTCAGTCCTCCCTCTCCCATCTCCCATCTCCCCCCCCCCCCCTTAAAGGTGAAAAGTTCAACAAGAAGACCTGCCGCGTCGATCGCGTGGCCAACCATGTCACTCTGGGCCGCCAGCTCAGCGCCCTCGCGGCTCGGCCGCGGATCAGAAAGGGGCCCTGTAAGGAAGAGAGAAGCAGCCTCTTGACCGCGAGGTGACTCTTGGTGGCTCCACAGGAGAGAAAAAGCCTGAGCCCCCAGCGGAGGGTGGCAAGAAAGGGAAGAAGGGCAAGAGCAAGGAGTCCAACTCTCCTGCGTGGCTGAAGGAGAAGCGACGAAACATGATGCTTCTCAGCTAGGCGTCGCGATGACCGCGAGATGATACGAAGACCTCGTCTCGAAGAAGCGCTCTCCTTTTTGTCTAATGCTTCCTCAAGAAGGTATCCATCTACTCTGCGGGTGTGTATATGTAGGAGTGTATGTATGCAGGCACGCATGCATGCACGTATGTAGGTGCAGAAGTCATCATGCCTCACATGCCATGTACAACAAATGCAGACGCGCGTCCACATGTCTGCTACCTGTGGCGGCTCCTCTGTTCCGCCCTTTCCAACGTTGGCTTACCCTCAACCCCAAAGTCTAAACCCCACACTCCTAGACCCCTAAACCGCCTGAACCGCCTAAACCCCTAAACCGCCTAAACCGCCAAAACCCCTAAACCCTAAACCCTGGGTTTGGGGAGGACTTGGTCCTGGCAGCAGACAACGGGCTCATGGGCCGCGAGGCGGGCCTTGCAGCCGTGGAGTTCCAGGGCGCCGGCATCTCCCACCACTCCCCGCTGGTCAAGGCGCAACGGGCACAGTTCTTTTCTCAAAAAAAAAGGTGGCTTGCGGAGTTTCCGGGCGTCTTGAGGGTCAAGCCGGCTAAGCCTAGGCCTAGGCAGGGGCATGTCAGGCCGAGCTGCACCATGGAAGGAGCCTCACGGACATCATAGCCCTATGCCCCTGTTGTTCGTTTTTGTCTGGCGGCCGTTCACGTCATGATCGGTCCGTGTCCCTCCGAATCCGCTTCCCTCACTTCCCTGCCTTGGATTTCAGCGAGATGCCCGTCCTTTCTAGTCCAGCGTTCAGTGGTTCAGCCGGGGTGGACAGGCATGTGCTTGCCAGGAGTGCAACGACTCTCAGAGAGAGGCCTTGCTGGCTGCCGGCTGCAGGCAGGAGTTTCGGAAGAGTCTCTGGCTGTAAGCGTGAAGTATGAAGCGGGTCCTTTTGGCAAGTGTATAAATATATAAACAATAAGCAAAGACATACGTCACAACTAAATAAGTAAATAAATAAATAAATAAATAAATAAATATATATATATATATATACACATGTGTATATATATATATATATACGCACGTATGTATGTATATGCATGTATACATATAGATATAGCATAGATTAGACACATAGATACATCACATACCGGTTCACGTGTGGGAGTTGCTGTTCCTGTCGTGACGAGGCGGCTCACTCTCATCCAGGGCCCACCGGGTGCCGGGAAGACGACGACGGCGCTGCTGCTCGTTCGCGGCTGGACCCTGCCGAGTGTTTCTTGCTGCAATTTGTTGTCTCCTTGTCCTTGTTCCAGCCCTGGGCGCATCCCAGCGCACGTGGCCATGCACTACGAATCCAAGCAGCCACTTTGCTGCTCAACGCTTACCCAGCCAGTTCTGATTACAGGCACGTAAATGCCATAAGCACCGCCATCAGGCTGCGTCACTCAGACGATGCCTTGGCAATTATAACACTAGGTCTGCTGCCAAGCTCCGCGAAGTCCGGATGGATGTCCCAGCCCATGCGGAAGGTCCTGTCCCTTTCGAGCAGCGTTGCTCTGGTTTGGCCTCGTAAACGTGGCGTTGCTCTGGTGGGCGGGTGTTGCCCAAAACCTTTGGGGAAGGTCCTGAAGGTTTGACACCTTTCGTGCTGTCTTGCTCTCCTGAGTGGGTGTTCACGAAACGGGTGGGGGACAGTACTGATGCACGAAGGTTTGATCCCTTTCGTGGTGCGCTACTCTACTGAGTGGGCGTTGTCGACACGGCTAGGCTTTTCCGGTTCACAACCCGACCAACACGGTTTGACCACAACAGCGATTTGTGGCACGTAGCTTATAGTTTGAGATCGCAATGTTGTCAACGCGAGTTCAGGCTTCAGGGATTTGCCGTTGCTTTGGTTCATGCTTTGCTGTGCTCATAGCGATTGAGGAGACGTATCGAAATCCTCTTTCCTCTTCCGCTTGCCCGCAGGACGGCTGCGCGACGTGGGCCTGTGCTTTGCTGTGCAGACAGCAACATCGCGGCGACTCGGCGGCGAGTTCTGACTAAGACCTATCCCGGGCCCTGGCGTTCTTGTGAAAGCTCAGTTAGGCCGAAAGTGCCTCTGAGGTTTTGGTCGCTGCGGTTGTTTGCGTCCTGTTTTGGTCAGGTGGACAACTTGACGGCCGGCTGTGCGAAAGCGGGGCTCCGGGTCGTTCGGATCGGCCGGCCGGAGGCGACGCGCTACGACCTCGAGAAGTTCAACCTCCTCGAGATGGTGAAGGCGAGGCTGGGGGGGGGGGTGCCTTCTAGATCGAAGCCTCGAGGCCGAGGGGCCTAAGGCACAGTCTTTTTGGGGGCAAGGGACTGTGCCCCTGCTTGCAGCTGTCTGCTGAGGATGCCAAAGCGCAAGATCCAAATGCGGAGGACAGGGGTCACTTCGCTCATCAGAGGGCCATTCTGGAAGATGCAGAGGTTGTCTGCAGTACCTGTGCCGGTGCAGATCATCCGGTGTTACAAGGCAAAGAGTTTGGATGTGTTCTTATTGATGAAGCCGGGCAGACAACAGAGCTGGCTGTTTTGGTTCCTCTGATGAAGATGAGATCTGATGGTGTGGTCACCCTTGTGGGTGACCACCGACAGCTGCCTCCGACCATCAGCAACGTCGATGTAGATGTCGAGGGACTGGGGACCTCCCTTTTCGAGCGCCTGTCGTCCCACGGGGTTGAGCCCTTCATGCTGGATGTACAGTACCGCATGCATCCTGCAATTGCAGCGTACCCTGCTGTGGCCAGCTACAATGGCAAACTGCGTTCTGGAGTGTCTGGTGCGATGAGAAAAGCTCCGCAAGGCATCGCCTGGCCTTTGCCAGAGGCTCCGGTCACTTTCCTGCCCGTTGAGGGCAAGGAGAAGTCTGAAGGAACTTCCTGGTTCAACGAGACCGAAGTAGAAGCTGTCGAGGCGCTTCTGGGCAGCGCACTCGCCTGGAACGACATTGCACCCACGGAGATTGGCGTCATCACGCCCTACGCAGCGCAGGCTCCCACGGAGGGATGGGATTTCAGCATGAGAACATCCCATCGCAAGCGTGCGGTCACCAAATAACATAATCGAACGTATTCTCGGGCAAAGTTAAGTTGTGTACATCCCAGCATAAGACTATCAGAAATCATGAATTAGAATTAGAAGGCCTGCTCTAGTGACTCTGGTGTGATTTTTTTTGGGGGTTTTAGCGAGGCCCGGCTGATCCGCCGTCGCTTGGGCTGTCCTCCGCCGGGCAAGAGGGCGGCTGCAGGGGCCGTGGGTGTCGCGTTGGTGGAGGTGAGCAGCGTCGATGGCTTCCAGGGGCGCGAGAAGGAAACGGGCTTGGGGTCTGTAGAGCGCCTCTCCTTTCTTCTTCAAGCTCGTAGCTCTTCGTGGAAAAATTAGAGTTGGATTATCAATTTAGGGGAAGTGACATCCTGAGGACCTGATCATCGTCTCCACCGTCAGGGCCAACACCAGTGGCAAAGTTGGCTTCCTGGGCGACCCCAGGCGACTGAACGTCACGATCACCCGCTCTCGCAGGGGCCTCGTCGTGGTGGGCCACTTCGACACCCTGGCAGCAGACGAACACACCTGGAGACCCTGGCTGACATGGGCGCAGGTGCCAGCAGCTTAACCTTCAGCACAGCCAGCAGATCAAGCATCCAGTCACATCTTGTTGAACGAACTTGATAAGCGAACGCTCTCAATCCAAGAACGTTCTCCACCCAAAAGATTGCCAATTGGCTGGTGGTTTATTTTGAGTAGGTTGCAGGGCTGCTCTCAAGCTTAACTTCAAGGTTCAAGTTTATGTGCATACTAGACTCTGCACGCAGAATGGTCGGGGTGGCTTCTGGCATTGTGGCGGGTGGCAGGGATTTAAACATATGCATGGCGCAAGCCACTGCGAGTAATGAGGGGTCACTGGCTATGTTTCGTCTTTTGAAATCCAGTTGCTGGTGGCATCTAGGCTTCCTTGGAGTGAAAGCATTTGTGGCCAAGACCTGTGGGGCAGGAGCGTGGTCTGGTTGCTGGATCCGAAGCCAGCAACCCAACAGCCGTCGGAGCCCTGAAGCAGCCGCTTGGCCCAGAGAGACAGAGAATGACAGAGACAACAGGGACAGGGAGAGAGTTCATGCTGGACAGAGGCCGCTGCCAATTCATATCAGGGGGAACTTACCCGCATATTGTTGCCGTGAGTGCCTCTGGGACTGGGCTCCTTTGCCCAGTAAAGTATTAGCGGCATGAACACACTTCACCGCAAGTGCAGGGCTTCCAAAGCATGGACTTGGTAGTCGAAGCTGGACGGGTGTTTCTCTATAGTACATTGTCTTTGTGGGTGTTGGAAGTTTGTCGAGTGTTGCAGTTGCACCATCAAAGCCGCGTTGCCCTGTCAGCCTTTCACGACATGCGGGGACGCACTAGCGAAAGGGGAAGGGTCCCTCCCCTTCCCACAGCCCTGGCGAGAGGTGTTCAGCACGAAAAAGACGTTCAACTCCACAATCCCGTTTCTCGTTCCCCAACACAGCCCCCGACAGGGCACAAGAAAGGACAGAAGGGGTGTGAAGAGAGGTACCATGAAGCTTGGGTGGAGAAGAAGGACAGAGATATGCAGAGCTATTACCCGCAGCTACTCGCCCAGGTTGGAACTCCTGACGGAGGATCAGCTTCTGAAAGCGCTCGATGCGACGTACACGACGCAGAAGCAGTGAGTGTGCAAAAGAGTCTGGGTTCCTCTTCAGGTTGCCTGTTGGAGATGTCTCTTTGCTTCCGACATCCTCGCGCGCCCCTGGTTTAGCTCGATGCTCCTTGGGTGTTCGACTGGGCAGGGCTCAACTGCTCGGTACCTCTTCCTTGGAAGGTCTGTTCAGATTTCAGGACAGATAGCCCCCCGTCCTTATACATTGAAGACCATGGGGAGCGCAGGTAAGGTTTCAATTAATCCATTTCAGTTTCCGGTTTCCAGCTCACGCCTTGTATGCTGCACCCAGAAAATGAAAGAAACCCACGCTCGGGCTGATATCTTTCACTTTTTACGGTCTGCCTTTGGAGTGTCGAGCCTGGAGTGTCTCGAAGGTCCCGGTTGCAGAGTAAGAGGGAGAGAGGGAGAGAACGACCAGGGGCTTCGTAGATTTGTGATTGAAAGTGTGCTGCCTTCTGGGCGAGCCTCCGGGCCCCAGCAACCTTCTGCACGAGCCTCCGGGCTCCAGTCCACGGATAGTTGTTTTGAGACGCTCGGAATTGAGACTATCACTTTCCATCCCCTCCATAGGTTAAGACATGGGGGATGCTAGAAATGATGCTCCGAAGATCAGCCAGAAGGAAAGTTCTTCGAAGGCCCTTAGCCTTCTTAAACACAGCAAGAGCAGCGCAGCAGCGCAGCAGATCAAAAGCGCCGAGGCCCGCTGACCCCCCACAAGCTGGAGTCGCCCTCCGGCCAGCTGAGGCGGGGCCCGGGGTTCCCAACCGCCGCGCTTTGTTGTCGGATTCCGTTTGGGCTCTCCCTCTTGGGAGTGCAAAAGACGCTTTTTCTGGGGGTCAGGATGCAGTTCATTTTCTTGTACTACGACCAGAACCGCAACGGCCGCTTGGAGGTGGAGGAGGCCACTCTGAGACACGAGACAGCTTCTTGCCCCTGAGACGGGCGGCAGATCAGGTAGCAAAGATGATCGAGCACATCCAGCAGCTGCGGGGGGAGAGCCATGCCGATGCCCTCGCCAACGCCAAAGTGCCGGGCTCAGTAGAGACAAGCCGCCAAGCCCCTGCTCTCTTCGGTCTCTCCGATTCTTCGAGGCCCTCGTTTCCTACTACTCGGCGTCCTTCGGCTCCTTCGGATTTGCAGCCTTCTACGACGCGGCGCAGAACAGGAGAACTTGACGTTCTTATGAGGGCACTCCGCTCCAACTCGCGTCGCCACAGTTGCAACGAGACCCGCCCCACTGCTTGGCAGCTGCTCGGTGCCAGCCCTCTGGGAGGATGCTGAACGGAACATCGCCGCTCTTGCGCACGCAGCAGGCCTTCGGTGCAGCAGGGTTTTCAGCAGCGCAGTCTTGAAGAAGGCCTCAAAGCAGCTCACAGGATCTCCTGGAAGTCATGAAGCAGCACTCGCAGAGATCGGGACCGGCAGGGTGGCGGTCTCAGCCACAGCACAAGCAGCCGGTTCTGAAGACAGCCAGTTTGGAGCTTCTTTGAGCGTGTACCTTGCACGGTCACCAGTAAACACTGAGTTTTGGGTTGCTTTAGAGAAACCTCATTGTACGTCCATCAGGGGAGACTCTGTCACATCGTGTGCTGTTGAAGAGTTCCGCAACAGCTTCGTTGAATGTGTTGAATTTCAACAGGCACCCGCCACTTTTGCTGCATCGATCTCCGCTGCAAAGCAGCGTGGTGACAGGTCCAGGCATGAAGCAAGGTGCCCCCCCCCCTCTCCCCACCTCCTCAAGCCTTTTGGGAAGGAGCTTCCGTGAGAGCCTGTGAGCTGAGGTCCGATGAGCTCGCGTCGCTCTCTTCCATTGCCGGCTTGACCCCAATGCCAACCAACTCTCTGAAGCCAACTCTCTGAATGCGTTCAAGTTCCGAGTCTGAGGCCCCACCCCGGCAAAGGCCGGCCTGAGCGAAGGAGCCCGAGGAGAGTGGAAGAGTTTCTGCGATTTGCAGGTAGCTGGTGCCAGCAATGGCAGCATGACTGGTGCTCAGAAGTGCGGCAACGAGCTGCCGAGTTTTCTTCAGGCTAATCTCGCCGAATCTAGCCACCCTTTGCCTTCAGCGAGGCCCTCGCTGCCCTCGAAAGCCGTGGCCACCAGATCACAGCGAGGAGCCTCCAGCGAGCTGCGGCCTCGAACCACAGGACAAGGGAGGGTTTTGGTGGAGCCTTGGGAACCCTTTGCTGAGGTGGCGCTGGGGCGAACAAGGCCCGCTGACCCAAAGCCCCCCCCCCCCCCCCCCGACTTTCTCGCTGCTTGGCGCTTCTCTCAGCTGGTGCTCAGGTGGGGTGCAGGCGCCCGTTCGAGGGTTCTTCTGTTGCCCGCCTTGCCCGTACCACAAGGGGAAAGCAGGAGCTCTCTGCCTGGAGGCCCTGGCGCTCCGCGTGGTCAGGAATTTGATGGACATGTCAGCGCCCCGTGGCGATGGGCGCTCGCCCCATAAGGGCCAACGCTCGAGCCTCCTTTTCTCCAGGTCCAACGAGAAGAACCAGCCCATGGCTGAATGGAGGCAGCTTCCTCACGAAAAGCTTTCGAAGCACTGGGGCGGACCCGACTCAGGTACAATCTTCAACTTGTCAGCACGCGCGAGTTCTACCTCCTGTGCCAGCGGCCGACTCCACCGAAGAATGTGGTGAAATGTGACAGCAAAGCTTGTCTGAGGCGATACTGTGGTGGAGCTCCTCCGCCAGGAAGATTCCTTGGTGGAGGCCCATGGGCTTCTGATTGAAGGGGGATGAAGCCAGCACCAGAATTGTGGAACCTTTTAGGTGCGCTTCCCTTGTCGAGTCTACGGAGACATCCATGGGCCGATAGCCCACACAGTCTGGGAGGAGCCAAGCCCGGTCTCATCTTGTGGGCTTCGAGTCGTCTGAGGCAGCTACTGGACCTCTTGGAGTTCTTCAACGCCTTCTCCTGGCCAGCACGGCTGCCAAGATCTCTGAAGAGCTTGAGGCTTACAGTAGATTGTAGATGCCTCAGAGGACAAGCGGCGCGGAGACATCTTCTCGATGAACTATGCCGCGCCCTCGTCGGACAGAAGCCCGAAGTCTTCTTCGACCGTTCTTGAACTCTCGAGGTGTTCTTGGGCGACTTCGTCGACAGGGGGGCCTATTCGTCCAAAGCTCGGCCGCGGTTGTCGAAAGCTGCGTGCCAGAGACACACACGAGAATGTAGCGGCGGTTCGAGTCGGTGACCTCAGGTGTGATGTGGTTTCCCTGCTCTTTTCGTTGAAGATCCTGTATCCCCAACGGGTCTTCCTGATCCGAGGGAACCACGAGGTGGGACTGGAGCCCTTCTTGGACGTTTTCTTCTGAGAGCCTGATGGGATCCCGGAGAGGACCGTCTGATGAACGTGAACTACGGCTTCCACGCCGACTGCACGAGGCCCGGCGCCACTGCGAGCGCTCCCGAAAAATCGCAGAATCTTGCCCGGTTGAAGTTCCTTGGAGGAAGTTCGGAAGGGATGGCGATGGCATCTGGGAGCGTTCCAAGCTCAGGTCCCAGCCTGTTTCCTAACTCTGCAGCTGTCCTGGCGCCAAAAAGGTGTCAATGATGTGTTCGAGTTCCTTCCCATCGCGGCGCTGGTGGAAGGACCACTGGAGTCCCGTGCAGTTACTGGCAAAACTGTGTGAAGCCTACGCCCTCCCCTTTTGGGTTTGGGGCTCCCGTGGTGTTTAGGAGCGATCCTTTGCATCCATGGCGGCATCGGGGACTCCATTACCCAGCTGGACGACCTGCGCGGGATCCCGAAGCCCATTCAGGCGATGAGCAGATGAAGACTCGTTTCAGGAGCTTAGAAGGCGTAGAGCTTAGGGGGCGTTGGCAGGTTGTCGGCGAAATCAACGAAAGGACGAACTTTAAGTGCAGTGAAGTCCAGTGCGTGGGCGTGCTCTTTTTGGTGGGTCGAGAGGACCACCCGTCGAGACCGAATGGTGCTGGACGCCCTCTGGTCCCGGCCTTCGGTGACATTCGTCCTTTTGGGACATCCGTTTCGGGAGCGCGAGCGCCGCTCCGCGAGGTCGGATCCGACGGACAACGACCAGGTCCTCGGCGTTCATGCCCGGACCTCTGAGCTGAAAAGGGGCATTCGGAGGAGCTGCGAGCTGCGCGAAAAATTCAGGTCTCTCCAAGGGGCAAGAACACCTGTCGCTTCGGCCCGGATCGCGTGCAGGCGGGACCCTGTTGGTGCCAATCAGTGTCGCAGTAACGCCGCATGCTATGCTCAACATGTGCATTCTCGCGGCATCGCAGTGGTCCTGCGGCTGCTCCCACAAGCAAGTCTACGCATTCCACAAAGCCGGAAGTTCGATTCAGTTCTGTTGCAGGACTTCAACCGCCGGAACTCGTTGAAGCTGATCATCCGTGCGCACGAGTGTGCCAGCCACCCGAGCCGTCAAGTGAGTTCTCGTTGCATTGGGCATGACTTCGTCTCGATTCCGACGATGTGGTCTGTATGTGGATGTCAAGCGCTCGCCTTCCCCAGGTTCAGCACGGCTACGAGTACTTCGCCGGTGGTCAGCTGCTGACCGTCTTCTCGGCCCCCGGTCTGAGAGGTTCCCAAGACGTAGCCTTCCCTTGGAGTTTTCGTGGCCCCCCTTTTTGGGCATTTGAGCATTTCTCTCTCTCAAGGCCACCAACTATTGCAATCAGCATGACAACGATGGAGCGATGGTCGTTCTGGTCAAGGAGTGCTCTGCTTTACCTGGAGTTCCGAGGAGCCGCCTCCTTTGACCTAAGACCCATGGAGGATGACCGCACAGGGGAGGTGGTCGAACATGCTCAGGTCATCAAGAGTGGCACGGCAAGGATCTCAGCAATGACAAAAGAGTCTTCCTGTGTCCCATCTTTCAAACATAGCAATCGCTACTCTCAGCCGCAGTTGCAACATGCCACGCCATGCCCACGGATGCACATCCACGTTGATTGTTTTGGAGAAACCGAGAGAGGAGACGGAAGAGGCAGGAGCGTGAGAAGTGTATGAGGTCTTTGAGAGGATCTCGGTGATCTTGAGGTGGACACCTCCTATGGCTGGAACGACCAGCAGTTTCGAGCGTTCAGCGCTTAGCCCTGCAGTTCGGCTCTTCCTGTCTAGTTCCCTTCCCCTTCGTTTCTCTTCTTGCCAGGCCCTCACCGATGCGACGAACAGGGCATGGGCACTGATGTTGATCCGGTCGCCACCTTCTTCGTGCACTGTACCATACCATGTCACGCACACATGCAAAGCTTCTGACCTCGCTGTGTCACCCTCTCGTTAATGAGATCTGCCTCGAAGAACATCCGGGCTGTCATGCTGCAGAAAAGCCGCAAGAGTCGACGCTACTCTTCGGTGGTGGTGGTGGTTGTGGTTGTGGTCGTGGTCGTGGTCGAAAGCTGCCCACATGTTTGTTGCGTAAGTTGAGCCAAGCTTCATGGTGTTTCCGCACAAGTTTCTGCTCAAGTTGGCAGGCATCGGTCTGTAGTTTGACATTCAAGATCGCACCGGTTTGGAATGAGGTGCCTCGTTGCAGGCTTCCTTGCCCTGGTGTTGACGGGCTTATTTTGGGGGTCAGATTTCGAATGGGGCCTGGCAAAGCCCACGGGTGAAAACCCCGATGAGAGGGCATTAAACGCACTGGCTGGACAGAAATACGTCAACATGCTGAACATGGCTTCTGGCAAAGTTCAAATTGAAGTTTTCTCAAGCAGTGACGATCCTCGAACGAGCTTTGGAGAAGTCCGTGCAAACCGGCAACATGCAGCTGCATGCCAAAACTTATTGCCGGAACAAACTTGGCGAAAATATTCTCGGGTCAGCAGACTTGGATGACTGGGTCCGCAAGCACTGCCATGGATTTGGCCCTAGTTCAACTTGCCACGGTTTGATTACGCAGGACTTGCGCACTATGGGGTTTTCAAACACCAACAGATCTCCGGAGCCAGCTTCACGGCGGAGAACATCTATGCGGCAATGCAGATCGCATCCCGCCTTGGATATGACATGATGTTGAAGCGCAGTCAGTACAACAAGTTGGCCAAACTTCTGAAGCAACACGGATGGGTTGGCACGATTGAGCATGTTGGACCAATGATGCTTTATGAGCTGAGACAGGCCGCAGCCTTGGTTGCAGATGACAGGATGCAGGTGTTCTCGCTGGACCTTCACTCCATGAGCTGGTCTGGTGAGAGATGCACATGCTTTGAAATGCACATGCCCCAGTGGTTGTGGCGGGCAACACCAGCTTGGGATGGTGTGGGACTATGGTCAGAAGTCATTCCTGGTTTTCGGTCACGACGTCGAACACGGAAGTCAAAGGTGAGACGGAAATCAAAGGTGGCCTCAGCAGTTGATTCCATTGTCGGATCATTTGAGGAGGACCAGAGTGTAGATTTTGCAGACAATCTACCCAACACAAAGCAGCCAGATATCACCGACATTGTCTTAGGGGACATTTTCTTCGCCCACATGAACGCCTCCACGGATAGCAACCATTCACCTGGCAACAAGTCTCATGCAAGCCGAAACGTCTCCGGGTTCCGTCCAGGATGACCTTGACATACAAGAATATGTCGGCAAGCACGGAGACTTGTTCCGCCAGCTTCTGGCAGCAGAGCTTACCGTAGGTCAGTACGCTCTTCGCTTTCCTTGGTTAACGCTGCTGTACCTCTACTCATATCCAATTACGTCATCCACAATGGAGCCATTGTGTGACAGTGGTCCGACCGCCGGGTTTTTGCCACGTCCACCTCCCGCTGAGCCTTATGTTGATCTTGGAATACCTGACGAAAATAGCTACGATGGTGCGGACACATCAGTTGAAGGTATTTTGGTCTTCAGTTGTCATCCTTGTTGGCGCTGCAGCCGGGGGCCCAATGGCTCGCCCCAACTGCTGGACCTTTTGGGCGCTCTCTGGTCTCTATCCCCTGCTCCAAGCATTAGCCTCCCTTCCACTTGTCGGCGGCATCGTGACGCTTCCATTTGCGGTCTATAATGCGTGGATGCTGCCTTTCGGGCTTCCTGCGTCGCAGCAGAACTGCTTGTTAAGCAGCAATCCATGGGTCTCGCGAGTTGGTGCTCAGTTAGGAGTGCCAGTTCCCTACGTCCAATCCACATTGGAGTTAAATGTCATGGCCAGCACGGAAAGTTTCTGTCCTGGTGGTTACCTGCCTCTTTCGAGCCCTGCTGGTAGCTGCGGCGTGGACACTCTGCAGAGGCTGCCTTGCAGTTGCTCGGCTGCTATGCTGCCAGAGAGGACATGCAGTGGAAGACACCCATGCGCTTCTTGTCAGCTGGATGCTGGCGCTAACAACGAATGGTTGTCCGTGTACGACCCTTCGCATGACCGGGATTTACACGAGGCGTTGCTTCTTGCTGTTCTCTTGGAGGGCGAGCTTTCTACTTATGAGTGGAAGGAGCTGTGCAAGTCAATGCCCCATGAGGACTTGAAGGGCTCTTTCGTGGAACAGATGATGAGCGTGCAAAATGCAAGCAATGCGAGCAATGCAAGCAACGCAAGCCCCACCGACAGCGATGAGAGCAACATGATTTTTGGAGTCGATACTGTTGTAAATAGCCAAAAACTTGGCAGAACGCTGTCAGAGCAGAGTGGGGATGCCAGCAAGTGTGACCCTGATGTTTTGGTTCGGCTGGGTGATGCTGGCCGCGCATACGACAAGCGTTTGGCTGGACTGCTGCTTTTGATGCAGCGCAAGGAAGTTCACTTCGATCAGGCCACCTTGTTTTCAACACAGCTTTCTCAATTGAGACTGATGGGCATCAACCTCCCGAACCATGGTGGCCCACCGATGGCGGAACCAGAGCACTACGGAATCATTCTTCGACTGGCAAATCCTGCAAGTTTCGAGCTCAAGGGATGCAGGAAGTGGCAGTTCTTGGTTCTCGAACTCATGGCTGATGGCTTGCTGTGGACTCTCTCCGTGGAGTTTCCCTCCTATGATTTCAAGACACTGCGACGCATGGACTTCAATGTCTTCCAGCCTGTGCAGCTTGCTGGGTTCTTGGCTGCCCATCACGACATTCCATATGCTGTCGGAAATTTTGACTGCCGCTTCTTCGCAAGTGCTTTGGGAGACGAGATTGCTGCGCACGCGAAGCGGTGGCTTGAAGTTGTAGAAGTCCATGTGGTCGCTCGGCCAGGTGCATCGGTCGACAAGCTGTTTCCTCGCAAGGCTGGTGTGGCAATTATGCAGTATGAGCATCGCAGCCAGACGGTAGCGAGCTTGATGCTACCACATTGGTTCTCCGCTTCCCCTCATTTTCTCAACGCTTCTGCGCCCTCTGCTTCCATGGAGCTGGCCAAAGTGGTTTTGGCTGGACCTCCAGGACAAGTTGAGCCCTTTCTTCAGCATCTCTCGCAGGAACAGCCGAAGCCAGAGTTGATGATTGGCAGCCCACGCTCGCTTGGGAACCACCTCTTTGCTGGCGTCACAGCCTACGAGGATCTTCCAGAGTCCAATCCTCCCCTTCTGGCCAGACGCTTTTTCATTCTCTTACCATGCTTTATCCTCCTTGTATTAGCATTGGGCTACTTCTTTGGTCATATCCTTTGGAAGCTTGGATGCCCATGCTGGAAAGCGGTGCGATCATTATCTGCACCTACGCAAGTTGCCATCGGACTATCCTTTGTAGTAGGCCTGGGGCCATGGCTGCTTATTGCTTACGGCCTTTGGCGTATGTGCTCGAGAAACCCAAGCGAAAAACAATCTGGGTACACCAAGCCCAGCACTGGTGATGATCTTGATGAGGAGACCACAAGGGCCGACACTGCCGAATTAGAGGACAGTTTGGAGTTGCCGGGGACAAAGGTAGGGGACCCAGCAAGCTCATGCACAGCAATAACAAGTTGCGTTTGGCGGCCCCTAAACCCTAAGGCCCTAATGCCTAAAACCCTTTCTGAGGTTCATGATTGCAGAAACGGGCGAATACTTGTCCGAATCTGACCTTCCGCAGAGCCCTGGCAGCAAGAAGTGTTTGAACCTTGAGCCCTACGTGGCACTCAAAGTGCCATAAGCCGTAAAGGGCCCCAATCCCTCAACGGCGGTTCCAAGCCTTCCTGTGTACTTGTAGATGCAGCTGAGGTTCTGGCGAACACCTGGACGGTGCTCAAAGGTTCTTAAACCTAGTGGGCGAGGCGGCAAAATGGTGCCTCAATGTGACAAAGCACCTGGCTCATTGGGTTTTTGGCAAGCCCGCCAGGCCTCCCTTCAAAAGAAGAGGAATCGATCGTTGATTAGCCTTGCAAGACGTGTCACACGTGGGACTGCTATGGACTGCTTTCGGTAACGCGGGATCAAAATATGCACGAACACAACGTGAGAGGGAGAGGTTTGGTCTTAGGAAGCATGCAGTTTCGGGCTCACACTGCCTCTGCGTATTTGTAAAATGCGCTCTTTCGCCAAGTCCGGCTCTGCGACTCAGCGATCTCTGGCTTCCTGAGATCGAACCAGAAAGGGAGTTTTGTACCTTGCGTCACCATGACTAGGACTAGGACCCAACGACAACCACACCAGCTTGACCAGAAGACACATCCACCAGCACCAACACCAAGAGCAAAACATGCTCTCACAGCAAGCAGCGATAGCGACCACGTCTGTGGTCGACTCTAGTTCGCCGATGGCTCTTGCATGCAATGATCTCAGAGAAAACTGAATTACAATGCCGCGAGCTTGCATAAAACACTTTCTCATTCTTGCTACGTCGGGCCATTCACTTTGGCATGCAAGAGAGAAACTATGTACAATTGCAATCCTAGCTTCACCAGCAGGGTCACCGCTGCCTGCTCTTCCTGCTTCAGCCGAGAGGCAGCACACCTAGTTTGTGTGAACCTGGCCCATGTGTGTCTACGAGCCTGCTGTGCTCTCAAAGTCGGAGTCCAGCCATATCTCGTCATCGGTCACAACGGATTTCTCACTGCATGCAAAGACCATGCGAATGCAAGAAACAAAGCCCGTTTCGGCACTGTTACCTACGGCGAGGAAACGGCATGTGCAGCATGTGTGTGTGTTGTCAGACAGGCGCTGCTGCTTGACGCAGGGCCCTTGACACTTTGCACGGGACCCTCTGGCTCGATCTTCAAACCAGCGACGCAATGTCGAAGCTCCTGACAAGCAGTCTGAGTCCATGCCTGAGCAAACGGTCTGAGAGTGCTCGCCTGCATTGTGTCATTTTCTCTGCAGGGTGTGCTGGTTAGTTCCTCGAGTGCGCTCCAGCCGGTGAAGCACAGCGAGCCTCGAGACATGCTCAGCTCCTCGACAGCAGGTTTGCACGAGATTTGGAGCAAGTTCTTAAACGAACCGGCAAGAGGCGTAAAATTCAGCGGGTGGCAGTTACGTGAGACCATGTGAGACCCAATGGCACAAGATAGTGCTAAAGGCTTCGTGACACACTAGTCACTAGTCATAGTCGGAACAGCTAGCATAGGAGCGGCTCCCAGGCGTGGCACAGGGTACCGCGCCAGTGGAAGAACTCCCTGGCTGCGCTAGTCTGGAAGGTCTTGCAAGCTCAGGCAGAGGGCGCGTCGACATGCAAGACCTCCAGAGTTATCTGGATCAGATCGAGAGGGGCTTGGAGGCCGGGGTTAGAAGCATCATATCTGGCGTGGTTTCGGCTTGGGCTTTCAATGTTTGATTTCTAGGGTTCAGGCATGGCTTACTGGAGTTGCAGAGTGTTTGTGGCGGTTTCGTGCCGGCGCGATCCTTCTTTGCCCTGTGGCTTTCTGTCGGGTTGCCTTTGCCGTATCGCCAAGCACTTCCGCTCTTTCACCTGTGGGTTTGCTTCGGTGTCGCCTAAGTCCTAATTGGCATGAGACGTGGAAGAGCTTCTTATGCGAGGCTGTCCAGGCAGCTGTGGCGGGCATTCAGTCTTCCGTTGCGGAGACCGGGGACCAAGCCGTCTCCGAAGCCGCTTCTACGGAAGGGCTGCAGACCCCCAAGACTTCAGCGCAGGCGCGGTTGGGCGGTGGATCGGACTGGATCGTCTTTGAAAACGCCCCTCAGTAGCGAGGCAGTTCTTGGAGTCAGCCCGCTCTTCTCCGACGAGAAGCCCGTGCTCCGCTCAGCCTCAGCCGCCATGGCAGCTGCAGGGTTACGCGGCCACAGCCGAGGACCGCTTTGAGATCCAGCCCAACGGAGTTCCTGCAGCCCGGTCTGCTCCAAGAAGACACTCCATGATCTCGAGCAAGAGCACCGTCAGCTCCTACTCGGTGGGCGAGGCTCGGGGCTTAGGGAACTTAGGGGCTCGTGTTTACGTCCTCTTCAGAAAGAACACCACTCTCCGACTCCTTCCTCAGGACGAAGGTGGCCGCTTGGCATTGCACAGCGGCGCACGGATGGGCATCTACAGTAGGTTCATTTTCACTGCCAAGGTCTTCGTCTCCTGGCCACCGCCTCGCGAGGGGTTAGACTCAGCTCCCTCCCTGTCACTGAGTTGCTCCGAGGATGAGTGGGGCGAGGCTTTCGTGCTCTCGGAACAGGAGGCCGCGGATGCCTACGATGCTCTCTATCGCCCCTTGGCTGCTCATGTCTCCCTGATGTCCCTCTCAGCTCGCTCGATGTGGGAATCTTCTGATCAGCCCCAACTTTCGCCAGGAGACCGGGACGTGCCAAGCCGCGTGAGCCGCAAGCGGCCGAGCCAGCTGGGTCTCCAGACCTTCGACTGCCGAAGCCGGGGCCCCTGCTTGGAAAAGGGCTCGCAGAGATAGGGCTCGCAGAAGAAGTTGGGAAGCTGAAAGTTGAGGCTCGGCTCTGTCGGAGCAGCTGCAGGTGGGGGGAGTCCGGCACTTTCTGGTGGTTTCTGGTTCGTGAAGCTGATCATTTTCCAGGAGATGCTGCGGCTGTGGCGGCTCATTTGGGATTTCCTCACCATCCTGCTGGTGGGAGTTGATGCCGTCATGCTGCCGGTGCTCTTAGCCTGGCCAGCGGAAGAGGGCAGCGGATGGGACGACTACTACAAGGTGTGCAAGCGCATGTAAGTCTTGTAAGGCTATGGAGCACATTTCAGCACATCTTGCAGGCTACCCCGGTCTTCTGGGTTGCGGACATTTGCATGATGTTCTTCTTGGCAATCCTCTTGAATGAGGGCTCGCGAGTTCATGCGGTTTGCCTCTACGTATGCAGACGCCTCAGCAACTTGTGGTGAGGCGGCTGAAGCTCCATCTGCATAGGAACTTCAACTCATGGCTTCTGTGTGCTTCTGCTACTAGCCGACTTCGTGCTGAATTGGCCCTGACACGCTGGGCCAAAGTCTTTCCCTTTGTTCATTGCAGCAACAGCAGCCGTGATGTTGCAGAATGATACCAGTAGCAAGTGTGAGCAGAGGCACCTGGTTTCCATTGGACGCTCTCGTGGTAACATTGGATCTGGTTCTGCTTGCAGAGCTTGTTCCCGATGACTTCAAAGCCCTAACTATGATGCGGCTGCTGCGGACGGTCAAGTTCAGACAGGCCAGATCATGACACTTCGTGACAAGGTGACAGCAAAAAGGCGAACGTGAGGAGAAGCCCTCGACCAGTTGATGAAAGCCCTCCTCCGATCTCGTCACCCGCACTTCAGACCACCTCCCACCTTTTCGCAGACTCGTCTCCAATCGTAACTAAAGCTCCTCGGCTGTCGGCTGACATCGTCTGGCTTAGCAGCTTTGCATTGGAGCTCAACATCATGCCCCTACGTCGCAAGGCTGGCTGAACGAGCTCATGTAAAGGATTTGCCAGCAGCCGTCACGCTGAGTCTGCTGTGCAGAATGCCCCGACACTTCATAGACTTCGAAGACAGGGTACGACTGCTTTCGCTTGATTGCTATCACTGGCGTTTCACGCTGTTCACACGCATGGTGCAATGCAACATCCGAACAAAAACTTCAGTTTTGTTCACCTTTTCCTGCAAGTTGGATCCCTTTCTACGGACCCTCGCCGACCTTCCTGGAAGGCCATCACTACGGTGGAGAGCCGGCTCGCTGCACGCGGGATGCTCCGCGCGGTCAACCTGTCCACCATCCTGCAGTGTGTGGTCTTCATTTTCGGTGTAAATCACGCCCTCGCGTGCATTGCCATTTACATCGGCCGCCAAGAGCAGGAAGCAGGGAGGTCCAAGAACTGGCTGCAAGCGTATCTCATCGAAGAGCAGCCTCTTCAGTTCCAGTACATGAGCTTCGACCCAAGATAGGATTTTAGGAGTGGTGTGGTGTCAAGCTTGCCTTTGGCAGTGCGGTGCTTGACTTTTTGCTTGCCGTGAGTGAAGTCTTTGTGACCAAGGATTGCCTTCAACTGGGTTGCTCCACCGCATGTCAGACCGCTTGTAAAGGGGCCTTTGCGGACCTGAGTGTCGGCCTATGAGGTGATTGCACAATACACACCTGCGCCATATCCCTTCACGGCCCAGAACGAGCCAGAACAAGCTCTGGTGTTGGTGCCTCGTCATTGATGTTGAGCCATAAAGGGGTCTGGTCTGGTCTGGTTGGAGTAACCAGACCTACACAGGGTTTAGGCTGAGGATTTGTTGGTGCTCTTCTCAGGGTATCATCCTCACTTGCCTGCCCATGCTGGGCGCACAAATCGGAATCATCAGCGGAACCCTGAACCTCATGACGGAGAAGGCGAAGGCGCGCCTCAAAGCACGAAACAACCCTTTGATAACGAATCAAGATACCGTACAATGATGGTACTTGTACTAACGAGGCACCGGGGCCCCGAAGCCTTCAGCGCGAGCAGGAGCGGGACCACGTCAAGCGGGACCTCCAGCGCTGGCTGCGCAAGACCCACGTGACCAAGCGCTTGCACGAGTTGGGGCCTCGAAGTCTCGGAGGAAATCGGAGGACACCCCGAGTTTTCACTGTAGCCACAGCCACACTGCCGCACTGCCCTCTAGCTGCCCAAAGAAGCCACACTTGCACGACTGAGGCGCGTGTTGACGGCCCTGGATGACGTCCTGGGCTCGCAGGAGTCTCCCTTGGACGTGAAGGACTGTCTGGTGCTTCGTAGTAAATGGGGCCTAAACCCGAAACCGAAACCCTGAACCCTAAACCCTAAACCCTTTAAGGTCCCTTAGAGTAGTCATAGTCCCTATAAGGGACTCAGACAGAGGAGCCCCTGGCCTTGGATTTCCTGCCCAGCACCTTGATCGAAGAGCTGCGCGTCGTGAAGACGGGGGAGACGCTGGCCACGCACCCCTTCTACAGCTTGCTGATGGACGACGCTGGGTCTGCACACTCTGAGGCATCGCCACTGCCATGAGCTGCCTTGGGTGCCGAGGATCGCGTCGAATTCGGTGGCAGGTTGGCAGCGGCTTTTCGTCAGAAGGCCCTCTGCCCTCTGCCCTGCCCTCTCATCCTGCGCTCCAGCAGTCTGCAGTCTTCAAAGATTCTACTCGGAGGCTTCCCTAAACCCTGAACTCTAGAATGCTGTCTCTTTGTTTGTGAGTGTGTGCGCGTGGGACAGGTTGCAGTGCAGGGCGAGCAAATCTTCGTGTGCAGTCGCCGGGCGGAAGGCGCAGAGAGAGACTCTTCCTCGACTGCTCATGTGGTACCTTATGTGTATGTATATGATATATATATATATATATGTGATATATATATATATATATATATATATATGTATGTATGTATGTATGTATGTATGTATGTATGTATGTATGTATGTGTGTATATATATATTTCTATATACATACACGTACGTTTGATACATTGAACCAAGGGTTGTTGCTCTCCCCTAGTCTCCTGATAAGGACGTCCCACTAAAGCACCGGAAGGAATCTATATCAGCATCCACGGCAGCTTTATCTTGCGGCCTTCCAAGGTGGCCGGGCCTCTGTGGGCCGGTGCTGCAGGGATGAACTGCAAGCCTCTGCCCCAAGGAGCTGGAAACTGGTAACAGCATGTCCCGGATCCGGACGACTCGCACCACAGTCTCAAACACCGTGAAGTTGCAGTCCGACACCTGGTACGCAGACGCTCGGCTAGCTCCAGTTGCTGGTGGGTTCGATTTACGTGGCAGTTTCAGAAGAGAGCCCTTCAAGAGGGAACCACAAATGCTAGCATGGCTATGAGCGGAGTCTACAGTGAACCCACCACACCTAAGAAGGTCCCACAATCCCGCAAGTCAGCTCTCTGAGGAGCTGGCTTTGTACACCAGCAGGACGGCCTTCCAAGAGCAGGGGTTAGTTAGGGTTTGGGTTCTTCATTGCCTCCGTGCGAGAGGAACCATGCAGCCACCTTGGCTGCGGCAACTTATGCCAAGCTGCTCACACTGTCGGCCACGGACTTCTTGCAGGCCTGGGTGAGCGGCTGCTTGCAAAGGCACCGGGCCCTTCACGGCCCGGGCCGGCCCTGCTCCTCGGGGCTTCTTGCATTGAACGCCAGGCCGTGAAGAACTCGCCCTCGATTGTGGTAGCCTGTCATGAGCACCTGGGCCTTGCACTGCCAGCGCATCCTGCACTGTCGTGAGCTGTCCATAGCTCCCGAGGTACGCGCTCGGGCTGATCAAGATGCATCAGTGCCTTGGACTCCGAAGATCGGGCTGCAAGCATCGGGGCAAACCCGCCAGATGGAGAGCTTAGGAGGAGGGCCCTCTTCACAGAGGAGACCTGGGAGGTTCCACCAGATGCCTGGTCTGTAGAGGTGCGAAGATCTCTGCTTGAGCTCGAACTTCCTTTTGTTTCCTCTCTCCTTCCTGCAGGCCGTGGCGGCGACCCAGCTGGCGGCAGCTTGAAGCAAGAGCGGGCAAAAGCGGGGGAGAGGGCGGCCGCGGCTTGGCCTTCCAAGGAACTCTTGATCCCGGGCACGAGCCCGATCCATGCCTTCAAGCTGACGGGCGCATCTCGGATTCGGAGATCAACGCGGGGGGGGGGGGGGGGGGNNGGGGGGGGGGGGGGTGCCTTGGGGAGCGGCTCAGCTTCACTCCTCTTCGCGCCTGAGGCTTCCGAGAGGAAGGTTTCCCTGGACCGGCTCCTCAACGAAGATCAGACCCTGCTCGTGCCTTGCATGGCATTGTCTGCAGTACGGCGGCAGAATTTGTGCCTCCGTGGAAAGCCGGTGGCCAAGGACCAAATCGATTGTGTCAAAGACCAGCTGGACGAACTGGACGGCGAGCGGGGCATGTACGAGCTTCTTCGGATCAAGGACACTCTACTTTCCCCGTTTGTTGGTCCTCTGTGAAAGCTCCCTCACGCAGGACGAAGCAAAGCGAGCTCTTCTTTCGGTGCTCTTCATGGGCTGGCTTGTGAGGGAGACTCGGCTGTGTGTAATGACCAGTCCTGTTCTGACTCCACATGTCTGCGCGACCCTGTGTTCAGGACAACTACGAACAGGTCGTGGCATGTCAGGACAGGGCAGAGAAACGCTACAACTAGGCCGTGAGCTGGGCGCGTAGAACTGCAAAAGGACGGGCCCAACAAGCTCACGAGGACGACCTGGTCCGCCCTGAGGGACTTTGGGCGGCAGAAGTTGCTCTGTTGGTTGTGGTCCTCTCTGCGACCCACGAATTAAGGAGCTGACGCATTGGAAGGAGATGACTTTCGAAGAACTGAATGCAGCCATGGTCTTGCTGGGCGTGCGTCGCTGGGCTTCACTTGCGGCCTCCGAAACAACTCTCGGCTTGTGGCGAAAAACAAGCTGGTTTGGTCCCTCCTCCGCAGCCTGTTTCAATCCCATACCAGGTGGCCTCTGCAAGAGCAAGGAGTTTTCGAGGCTGGTGCCTCCCAGCGAGCGACGGCATACGGAACAGGTGCGGAAGCTCTGCCTTTTTGTGCACAGCCTTGCCACCGCATAAACCGCTTGAGAACTTCCATGGGGAGGTGTTGCTGCACACGGTGGACCACCTTTCCGCCTACGTTCCTTCGCTACGAGCGCTGAGTACGGAGTGCTACACCCACCTCGGAAATGCTGCGGCTTTGATGAAGCAATTGCTTATGTTTTCAGGAGTGGCTGAAGCCGGTCCCACAATGTGCTCCTTGTGGATACCTGTCCCCGTGCAAGGTTCGAGTCATGCTGGACTTCAACTTTGCCACGCCTTCAGAACGTGCAGGGAGCAGAGGGAAGGAGTGAGACCCTTGAACAGTCCCCTTGCACCAACAAGGCTCACGGATAGAGGGGATCCCCCTGCGAGGGAGAGGCTGTCTTGTGGTATTCGGAAGCTGTGAGGCTCAGTTCGTGCAGGGCGAGAACAATCCCAACTCCGTTTGGCTGCTGCAGTGTGCGCTTGGCCGGGATGGGATGCAGGCCTTTAGGCCTCGCGCCTGCAAGGAGTCCCACAGAGTAAGCAGAGTGATCTTTTTTACTGTGGCAGAAGCGCAATGTTGAAGAGCAGGTTTCAGAACTCAGGTTATGCTTGCTGGCCCAGGCTTGCATGCTCTGCGGGGTGCTGACCTTAAAACCGCTCTGTGAAGAGGCAGCAGCCTCGAACGTGTGGTTCGCTTTAACACCACATGGCGATTTCGGCTAAGGCGTTGTGCACAGTTTAATTGTGGTTGCTTCTTGCTGAACTCTCATGCCTTGCGGACGTATCACTGAAACCTTCACAACTCGATATAACTCGATAAGGATTGTGTTCTTACTTGCCATAATTGGGATTGCAGGAAGTAGGACATGTAGGGACTCCTGGGATAGCCATGCACATCCGGGTAAGGATGTCCATTGCAATAGGCTTAAGATCGTTTTATGTGGCGCTCCTGTTGCTTGTACGTAATTCCCCGATGCCGTCATTAATGTCGACTCCAACCCAAAGGATAGATTTAATCTCTTGCAAGGTTGTTGTTGTCATGACACTGAGGACTCTTGGTTCTGAGGCAGTATTGTTGTAAAGCCACATGGTGCTGCATGTTCCATCATTCGAGATACTTTGGTCAACCTGCGCAGTGCCAAATCAAAGAGCCCTTCGCAGCTATGTGCACGAGTAGCTCCTCCAGCCCTTTTAACATCTGAAGCCCAATTCCTTAAGCCCTAAATCCCCTGAAGCATTTGAATCCGAGGTGAGCGGTACCTCCACAGTGAATGGATCCCTGTTCCTCAACGAGCTGAATGGCCGCTGCATTGTGAAGGCTCTCTCGAGCCTCAGGCAAGTCGAGGATCGGAGGGTAAGAAATGGCCGAGGCTCTTGCTACACTTCTATTTTACGCATGCATGCCCTTTATGTATGGACGATGTTTGGAAATTGAGCAATCGAAGAATTTTTCGTGCGAGCACGATATTCGATCAATTGGTGCGGAGGTTTTTTTTCGACAGTTTCGGCGCGCCCGTGATGTTTCAACTTAGACCAAGGGCTGCGTGAAAGGTTCGTTGCTTCCAAGATGGTTCCAATTCGTTCAGGGAGTGCAGCTCAGTTTTTGGTGATAGTTTCGTTGTGGGAGTTGCTTTCGATCTGATTAAATGCAGCGGATGTGTTTCGTGACAGGTTCGTTGCTCCATTTGATAGTGCAGCGGATGTTTCGTGACGGTCTCCTTGCATAAAGGATAAAGGATGGTTCGAGTCTATTGATCAGTCGTAACGGGTGTCGTTTTCAATTCGACCCTGAGCAGCTTTTTCCGCGTGTCAGTCTCAGTGCATCCAGGAATGCTTGTAAACTGATGAAAGGCAGCACAGGGTTTGGTGACCGTTTCTTTGGGGCCCCAGATGTTTGGAGACTGGCAGATTCCTGGCGCCCACGATGTTTCCAGTCTGGTCAAATGCATCGGATTGATTAGCGTTTCGCCTACGATGTTTCCAATCTGATCAAACGCAGCGGATTTTCTCTGATAGTTTCGTTGCTGCTTTGTTTTGCAACGGCTTGCGCTCACGACACTTCAAATTTGGTCTCTTGTCACCGCAGGCAGGATGTTTCCGGTTTGATGAAACACATTTTTTTTCCAGTGACAGGTTCGTTGCATCCGAAGTGATTTGTTTCAAGACAATTTCGTTGCACGCACGATGATGTATATGCAGCGCTTTTTTGTGGTAACAGGACCATTTCCAGTTTTGATTGGATGAGGATCGTTTTCGAAACGGTCGTGTCAGTTTCTTTGCGCCCAATCGCAGGTGTGTTTGTGCGTGCCTGTTTGGTCACATGGGAGACCATGAGCTGAATCTTTTCATTATGTAGTTCGACGTTTCTTTTTTTGTTTTGTCGTTCGGCCTCTTTGTCTTCTTGGAAGCCCGAATGCTGGGGACGCGACGCATCCGTGGTGCAGAGGACGTGGAGCCCCATGTGACGTACTGGCGCTACATTAGCAGCCGCGCAGAGGCCCAGAGATGGGAGCCTGGTGACCGTGGGAGCACTGCTCTGTGCAGGCCCTGAACCTGAGCGTGCAGACTCCGTGGGGCACCCGTTTCGACTCCAGAGTGTTGAGGGTTTGAGGGTTTGCAGTTTGTGACTGGTCTGCGCCTGCGCGAGGGAGGCCTGTTGAGAGTCTTGTGTGCAGTGCGGCAAGCCTGGAACTGCCAGGTCGCACCTGGTCCTCGCCCGCATTGCTTGCTTGACACGCTGCTCCGCTGCAGAGTGGCTGCACGCCGCTGCACTCTGTGACGGGTTCTCATCCGCATGCAATGGCGAGGAACGCTGGAGCCTTCCGCCATGCTGGAAGTGCAAGAAGATTGGAAACAGCTGAGCGATCGCGAGCGGGACGTGCTGCACGATGTCTTCCTCTTGGATGGACACGAGCACAAGGCCTTCATGTTTCTCTACCTGCCGCTCTTCCTGGCCAACGCCCGATCGAATCCCGATCTGGGACTTCAAGGTGGTTTGAAGTTCCTGGTGGAGATCTACGACAAGCTCATAAGGCACAAGTGTCTAACTCTGGCCGGACCAACGGTCAAGGTGGAGCCCTGGCCCTGCCACTGTATGCTTTATGCTCTTGTGTGCATGACCTGACCTGTTCTGATCCGTCGGCTGAGCCGCAAGTCTCCTGCCGAGGACTTGTCAACTCTCGCAGTTGTTGCCACCGACGTCGAAGATCTTCCAACCCTTCGCATCTTGGATGCTAGGGAGGTCGGGAGGTCTTGGGCGGCACCACAACAATCGGGTAAGAAAGATAAGGAAAGTGCCTGGACTTCGCGAAGATCGTGAAGCATGAGAAGGGAGTCACCGTGCTCCTGACCAGCGCGAGCTATCAAGTGCTCACCGGACAGATTGGGCTCAGCGTGCCCTGCGTTTCGGGGTTCTCCCTTCACATGAATGCCCCCTGACGAGGACAGCTCGTGCACCACACGAGAAGTGCAGATATGCTGGAGCTCCTGACGCAACAGCAGCGGCCCGACGCAAGGGTGCGGTGCCTTCCTTTCTTCATGGGGCCCTTCCTTGTTTTATTGCACAATGTTTTTGTTGGGGGTTTCCGTGTTTTTGCTGTTGCTCTGCTGAGGCTCCGGCTCGAGAGTGCCATCATGTCCAAGGCCCTGGGCCGACCTCTGAGGGCCTCCATCTCCCTGGACAACCTGGCAACGTGGCTCTTTAAGCAGCTCCTTCAGACCTTCCAAGAGCGTTTCGAACTTCGAAGCACGCGTGACGCTCCCTTGTGAAAACGAGGAGTCGGAGGGAGAAAGAGACCCGCACGCCATCGAGCAGACCTTCCTCTAGCTCCTGTGAACGGAATCCACACTAGCTTGTGGCTGCGTCGGGGGTGATCTCTATCGCCCATTATGCAGAACACTGATTCATGCAGTTGTCACACATGCAGCCATGAAATCCCGCTTCCACATAACGCTATCCCCAGATTCCCCTCGCTTGTGTTGGCCTAGAAAAAGCTTTATAAGGAGTGGGTCCAATCAAGACTTCAAGTTTTGCTTGTGCGGCACAAAGCGATGCCCGCGCCCGTGCGCATGTCATTCATTGCTATGATACGTGTGTTTGTCAAGACTGTCTCTGAGTTGCACAGAGACTCCTGCAATTTGCCCACGCTTCACGCCAGAATGCTGTCTAGGCTGGGCAGAAGCTCACCCCGGAACCACGCGCCTTCTTCGGAAAACGCAAGCTTGGCCAAGCCAGCTTCGCACAGTTTTCGAGGCCAGAAATGGCTGCACTCGGTTGGTGCCCCCCTTCGGCTGAGCACCTCTTGAGCCAGGCAGCCCTCTCGCAAAAGATGAACCACACAAGTCACATAAGGCTCATGCGACAGTGCTCGACAGCTCAAGCACAGTGCTCTAAGTTGGTCCCGTCGAACCCTTGACACCGCAAAGGCGCTGTCTGTTGGCTGGAATAGGTAATATGTCAGTCTCGTGATAGTACCAAGTACTGTACCAAGCACCACGACACTGGATACGGAAAAGGCTCCTTTCTGCGATCTCTTGGGGGCCCCTTCGCGAGCTGTGTCGTGCGCGTCTTCGCCTTGGCACCAAGACGGTGGCCTGCCAGTTGTGAGATCGGCTTCGAAAGTATCGTGCAGAAGACCATGGAAAGACCTGCAAGTCGGACCAACAGCAGACCTGAGCACATGGAGGATTTGGGGCTGGCAAGCAGAGGCAACACGCGAGCACATAAACAGAGCGAATGCATGGCCATGGCCATGGCTCCTCAGCCCGTTGAGAACGGCTACTCGGGTTTCGAAGATTCCGAAAACGGTGACTTCGATCAGGACGCGAGTCTTCGTCTCAACGCTTCAATCTCCATCTCTGTGCTCCAGGAGTCAGAAGATGACCAGCGCAGGTCCTGCTGTGCGTCGCCGGCGCCCTTGGCACACAGGGAAACGCCGCGCTTCACCAACGTAGGCGCAAGACCTGATCTCGATCCGGAGAGACGGAGGGCTTTTGGAGCGTAGAAGTATCCTCTTCGCCGCAGGCTTGATCGGGGAGACGTCCCACGACGGGGCCGAGCACGTGACGGATGAGGTCTTCAATGCTGCATCACACCTTATGGGAGGGATGCTCTCCGTTCTTGGCCAGCCGCTTATAAGTACACTTTACCATCCTGGGTACACCGCTGGCTGCAGTCTCTTCCTGAGGCTCGGCTGTCCTAATCACCGGTGCAGCAGCCCACTCGAACCCGTGGGGCGTCATCTCGCGGCGCGGCTGCAGCTGGACGCTTCAGCGCGCACTCGGAAACGCCCGCTCCCCCTCAGGTTTTCCTTGTACGGCGCCTCGCTGATGTTCTTGTTTTTCGCCAGCTTTGCGCCCGACTCCCAGAGACTCCGATGGCTAGGAGCCCAGTCCTTGGACGAGAGTGGCATCACTGTTAACGTGGCAGAGGCACCACGCGATCAAAGGGCCGAAGCCACTCATGGACCTCCTGCGCACTCTGGACTACGTGGCTATCTATTTCCTAATCCCTGGAACGATGGTCCCGGCTGGGTGCCCAGAAGACAACGCACCCGAGCTTTCGAGACATAAGAATCTTCTGAGGTCTGCTTCGTGTGCCTCCACGACACCTGGGTGGGCTGGGTGTTCTTCGGAACCACCTGGGGAATTGCCTTTTTGGGAGCGATGTGCTCAGGAGCTTTGTGTCTCATGTGCGCAGAAGAAACGGCTTTGCTGATTGGCTGACATGCAAGGTCTGGTTCCAATCCTTCTGTCCGCTTGAGTTCCCAATGTGGGCGAGTATGACCATGTACGTGCAGGGCTCAGATGCTCAGAGCCTCCTTTTCCTTGATGCAAGCTCCTGGCTCCTTGAGCCTTACAAGACTTACCAACCAAAACCCTTCCTGCTGCCTTGCTTGGTGCAAGGTCACCCTGGGCTGGTTCGGCGCCTTCCTGGCCATCCCTGCCTACAAGTGCATAACCTTCGGAGGCAGGACGGGTGTGTATACAGTACTTTGTAATATATATATATATATGTGTATGTATGTATGTATGTATGTATGTATGTATGTATGTATGTATGTATGTATGTACACATACCGATGATAGATATGTGGCTAGATCGATTAGATAGTGAATGTGTGTGCGTGTAGATATGGTACCCTGCTCGAAGTCCAGCACGAAGTGAGGAGCACCAGCTCTCCAGTCGTCGCAGCAACTTTCCCCGGCACCCTTTGAACGTAATCCCGGTAATCCTGACAACGACCCTGTTTGCTTAGCTTGTCTTGGTCTCCTGTCCGCTGTCAGAGTTGTCACCTTAAGCCTTTACACATGTTCGAGCCTTGTGGGTGTTACAACTTGTGGCAAGCTCGACTTTGTCTTCAGTAGATCCTTGCAGTAACACTTCTTTTCCCATGAATGCTTTACCACTTGATATCCACTGATCGAATCACAACAACCCGTAAAGCCTTGTTGACATCTAGGGGCGAACTTGGAGACCTCTGGTTTGCAAGCGTAGTTTTTCAGGACCAACGTCGTGAATACAGGCACTTGTACTTTTTGGAAATGGGCAGGATTCTGAGGTACTGCAGAGAAATCATTAGCGCAAGAAGCCGAGACTGCAACATCTAAGTGACCGATTTGCCGAGATTGCATGAAACGAGGACCAGTATCTGGATTATGGGGTCACAAGACATACATCGCAGGATTTGTTTGGAATTTCACTGCAGATTGAATTGTTGCAAGGAGTGCAGTCAGGGTTGGAAAGATCGGATCACGAATGCAGTCCTGGTGGCATGAATGGACAAGCTTTGGATGTTCTCAAGTGCAGGAAGGAGACTGCGACAACAGCAAGAGCAGCAGTGGCACCAAATGAATTGAAAGTGATAAGCCTCTGGCCTAATGATGCCAGAAACGGATCAAATTGACTCGCGGAGCTGGTTCCGAGATTCAAGACTCCGCCCTGACGTCTAACGATGAATCTTCATACTGGAGTCGAGGCCGAATCAAAATGACTCGATCAGATTCGCTTTGATTCGGGATGCCTCCTGGAGGGTTGCTGGGCTTGCGGGTTGGTCTGCTTTCCGGTCTGGCGGCGCTTTCAGTGTCTGTCTGTCGGCTGTCCTCCGGCCTGCCTGTCCGTCTGTCCGTCTGTATGTATGCACGTAACATTTAGGGTCCCCTTTTAGGAGCCCAAAAGAAGGCGGCACAGGTATAAAGAAGACCCGACAAGAGATAAGTTACTAGATGCATGTCCGACTAGATGCATGGATGTTGGTACATTCGTGTACAAATCGCCAATGAATGATGCTCAGATAGGCAGCCGGGATGGCTGGATGCGGAGATAGATGTCAGATATAGATATAAGTGGATGGCCGGCTAGCTGCTAGATAGATGGATAGCTAGTTAGATAGTTAGCTAGCTGGATAAGTTTAAACGCGAATGCAAGGACGCAGCCACAGACAGGGAGAGAGGGAGAGACGGCGAGAGATGGAGGGATCGGTCGCATCGCCTTGAAGCCGAGGCGCGCTGCTACTGCTGCTCGGGGGTCTGTCCTACACCTTCGGAGGTGTCATCTTCACCATGCAATGCCACCCAGCCCAATGGGAAAGAGTCGAGGGGGCAGTGAGTGTTTGGGAACCTCTGAGGTCCGAATCCAATCAAGGGAAAGTTCGGCTTTCACGAGATCTGGCATGTGCTTCGGCTGGACTGTTGAAGTATGGAGCCTACGGCTTCTTGGGGCCCCCTGCTTTCGCGTGCGAAGTCGAGGTTTTCGTTCTTGTCGGAGCCGCATTTCACTACGCCTGCATGCTCTTCTACGTGTTCCCCCACGTGAAGTCCGGTTGTGCCCAAGGAGGCTGCACATAATAAATTTAACAGTTGTAGCGGCACCAAAAAACCGAAGGTGCAAGCGTGCGAAGAGAAGCGTGCCGCCGCGAAGAAAAAGGTGGTGGCTCTTTGAGTGCTGGCCGTCGCCGTTTAGCTCCTCCTTAGCCGCCTTGTCGCCGTTTGTGTCCTGCAGTTGCCCGCCCGCCCGCTCTACAGCGCTGAGTCGGGGCAGTAGAGCCCCTTTTGCGGGGATCCGGCTGCACAGGGTGAACGATGCCTCGGCGACAGCCCGGCTCCTCGCAGACTCGTAGCCGCCGTAGCCCTCGCTGGAACTGCGCGAGGTGAGACGCATGGGCAGCGTTTGGTCCCATCTATGGGAGCCCCAGTGTGGTCAAGGCGCAAAATGGCAACGATTGCCCCATCCTCATCCTTTTCTCAACGGCCGCCTGGCAGGTCACTCTCTGCTCGGTGGAGATGACGAGTCTTCGCTGAATGCCAGGTGCCGGGAAGCACAAAGCCGAGAATATAAGGAGTACCTGATGAGTTCTTGTGGTTTGTGGGCACGGCAGGTATGACATGGACCTCTTTCCTCAGAAAATCGGCGAGGGGCAGTTTTCGAAGGCGTACGTCTGCTGGAGTAAGGAGGATTCTTCTCAGCGCTACGCCTTGAAGGCGCCCCGGTGTAATCCTGGCTTTCGAAGGCCGTAACGCCGTAGAAGCTCCTCTTTCAGGTCTTCACGCCGGATGAGGGCGCCGAGCATGCCACAAATGTCCCAGCCTGAAGGGAACCTTCCGAGTCTTCTGCCTTTTTTGCCGCGTGTCAGTGATCTGCCGGAGAGGAGATTCGAGTGCTCCTCCTGCTGGGTCCTTCTCCCAGTTCTTTGAGTCCTCTGTGGGGAAGCGCCCCCCCAAGTCTTAGAATGTGGGGGGGCACTTTCCATGGCAGGCCAGCACCCTCGAATCATTCGTCTCGTTGACCTCCACCACGAGGCGCGGGTGCGGCGCAACGAATCTCCCGGCCGCAGCAATTTTGCAGAAGAGTTCGCGCATACGTTTGTGTCTGTGCGCCTGTCCGAGTTACCGTGATGTTGTGAAGGCCCAAGCACTGCTAGACAACATTTTAAGCACATTTTTCACACAGAACTGCAGCCGAGCGTTTGTGACCAATGGCCTCTGCGAGGAATCTCGAAACATGCGCCTGGTGCTGGAGCTTTGTGCAGGAGATTGGTCACAGTCATTCATGACGGCTTTCCCTGCTATCTGATGCTGATCCAGGCGGCCAGCTCTTCGATCGCTTGGTGTCTCGTGGCCGATACAAGGCAGAGCCCTGCCTAACACCACCCGAAGCCCTAAACCCTACACCTTCGGCTTCAGGCGACGAAGGCTGCTTGCGTCGTCCAGGAGATTTTGGAGGCCGACCTTTTTCAAGGGGGGCGGCTTCTCTTTGGTGCTCTACATGGGAGGCCCTTGCGTATATGCACGGCAAGGGTGTGATGCATCGGGTGCCGACCATAGATTGCCACAGGTAAGAGTCGAAAACCAAGCTGTTCCGACTGCAAAGGATCTGAAGCCAGAGAACGTCCTCCTCGTGTCTCCTGTAAGCGACATTGACATCAAGGCCAGAGGCAGACAGATTTGTGTTTGCATCTGATATACTGATATATCCTACCTTTTTATACACAATGAATGAATGAATATATATATATATATATATATAATGTGTATATATATATATATATATATATGTATAGATAGAGAAGTGAACGGTAGGATTCCTCTACGGCCTGCAGCAAGCAAGTAAGCAAGAGAGGGCGAAGAAAGAGAGCGAGAGGGGGAGATAATATCCCACTAGGGGGAACTCCCCTTGACGCAATCAGGTTGGTGGCATTTATTCTCAAATGTCATGTTTGTCAGGTAGGCAAAAACTCCCCGTCGTCAGTGCCAGAGTTCCTGCTTTGAGGGGGGCTTAGGACTTTTTTGATATGCATGGCATGCATGCGTGGTGTCTCCTTCGAAGTCTTTCCTTCGAAGCTGTCTTGGCACCCACAACAGGTGGGGGGCGCACCTGCGCAGGGTCAGAGGTCTGCGAAATAACGAAAAGCAGAGCCATGCTTGCCGTATAAACGCATATTTATGGGGTCCTCTTGGCACCAGGTCTGCGACTTCGGGATTGCGAAGATGGCGGAGCGCTCTGACGGCAGCGTTGTCCGATCCGCGCGGGTGATCCAAAGTCGACCCTGGCCGCAATCCTGGCCGCGCTCCACCTCCTTCAAAGGGTCCGGAAGCATAGTCAAAGCCGCCGTTGCACAGGATTGTGCCGCGAGTATTGTTGGGAGGTCAGATTTCTATCTTGCACCAGAAATGCTGCGACAGGAAGAGTAGCCTGGCTCAAAAAGGGATGCGAAGAGCAGAAGTGGCCAAAACGAAGCTGGGGGGCACGGCTTTGTGTCCCTGTCGCAGGTATGGCCCGGAAATCGACCTTTGGTCCTTGGGCGTGACGACCTTCTCGCTGCGTTGAGCTCAGCCGAGCTCAGCCCTACGGCCCAGCGGCCTCCCTCTCTTCGAAGGGCGGGCCAAGAGTGCGCGGCTGCTGCAGGATCAGCGGCTCTCTGCCCTTCGTCGGCGAAGGAGGCGCGGAGGACTTACGAGGCGGGTCGGCGGGTCTCCGAGTTTTTTGGAGCTTCCCTTCCTGCTCTGAACTTTGGGCTGGCAGGAACCTACAGCAAAATCGTCCACCGAGACATCAGATTCGACGGCCAGGCCATGCACCCCGGCACCGGGTGAGAGTTGCACGGAAAAAACGCGGTGTGCGTGTCCCGTCCCCCCCACCTTCGAGGCTTGGGAAGAGGCGCCAGCCACAGCTCTGCGCTGAGCTTGCAGCGACCCTCCGTAAGTAGCGCAAGACATCGCATCTCCAGGCCCTCTAGGCTACTAAGCCCTAGTTCGGCCATCTGGCTTCAGAGAAGAAGGAGAAGCCACATCGGAGCTGCCAGCTGCGCTCCTTGCTTGACATGAGGGTGAGAGTGTGTTCAAAGAAAAAGCGAGTCGAGGCAGCGGACTTCATCCTCCAGCTGCTCAGCTTGGATCCCGCCCAGCGCCCCAGCGCTGCGCAGGCCCTGCCCGTAGCCAAGCTTGTGCTAAGCTGGCAGGAAGGAATGGATTCCGAGAGCCATGAGCCCGAAGCCATATGTAGTGCTAGTGCCTCCTTTCGCCCAGGGCTGCCGGGCTCGAAGAGGCTCGAGTCCGAGAGTTTAGGACGTGAGCGCCAGGCGCTGTCCCACGGCTTCGTGAAGTCGGCGCTGGAGTCGTTTGTCGACAGTGACGAGGACGAGGAGGAGGAAGAGGAGGAAGACGAGTCGGATCTCCAGCTGGACGAATTAGAGTCAGAAGGGGGATTGCAACCTGGCTGCCTGCCAGCGATGAAACGTCCGTATTGCCTTGTTGCTTGTTGCTCTGGCGCACCATCCTGGAGCCCACCCTTGCCGCCGTGCTTGATTCGGGTATCCACTCTTTTCGGAGCCTTTGGCACGAGCTTGAAACCTTTCGGAGGCAGCGCAACAGCACATCATGTCAGGCAAGGGGAGAGTAGATTCTTGGCACCACAACTGTATAGGTACTCCGTCACTGAATCTCACCCCTCCACTCGTCAGTCCACTCAGCAACGATGGCCTGGCAGCGATGTCGCAGCGACGCGCCGTCTACGCTGCCAAATTCCTCAGGCGACGAAGCCTGGCATCGTGCCGACTGCTTGTGAACCGAGCTTGACAACCCAGCAAACACATAGAGAGGTCGAATGGTGAGGGTTTTTTTTGCATGGTTTTGGGATTTCTCTTCTTCCATGCCCGGGTGATCTTTGCCCTTGGGGAGGCCGCCGAGCTGGACGAAGCGGCTGCTGCTCCGGGAAAAGCCCCGGGTGCTGACAGGAGCCGGGACAGTCAGGTGGTCACAGGTTATCCTTCTACGCGAGCCGGATGTGTTTGGGCAAAACGGGGCACGCGGTAGATGCGCAGGGCCTTTCGAAAACCCTGTGCGCCGCTGGGTCCGGCTGCGGGAGAAGGTCCTTGGCCTCAGCGAATCGTCGCACTTGAGCTCATGACCGGCTACGCCGCGCCAGCGTGAGCTTGCCCAGGCGCGGCAGTTTGCGGAGCTCCCGCCGCCACGGCGAATCCCCGTGCCAAAGCCTGCACGGCCGAAGCTGCTCCAGGCGGGAGCATCGCATTGAAAGAGATCTCGGCTCCTCCTCTTTGCGGCCGGCCAGGCTGTGGAAGGAGTGCCGCGGGTGAACCCAGAGGAGAGCCTCGGGACTTCGGGCCTTGCTTAAATCAAGACATCCGCAACTCGAAAAAGCTCGGAGGCGCTCCAACGTCGCCTGGATTTCCTCCTCTCTGATGCTGCTGCGTCCACCTTAAGCTACGTCACTGCTATCCTCCCTCTCTCGCTGCCTCTCTCTCTCTCTCTCCGGTGCGCTCCTCCGAGAAGCTGAGGTGAAGCAGCAGCTGGCCGCACCCCTTCGGCCTGGTTTGAGTCCATACTTCGTGGAGTTCCAGTGCTGGAGCAGGCGCTGGAGAAAAAAACCGGCTCTGTGGCGCCCGCTCTTAAAACTGAGAGTTTTTTCTAAATTCTAAATCTTAATCATCTCGCGAAAGGCAAGTGGGGGGGAGGCAGGCCCCTTTTTTTTTGTTGGTCTTGGAGGCAGCTGCGTGAGATCCGGCGCGTCTACCGCGCTCAGTATCTCCAGAAGCTGGCTGAGGCGGCCGTTGCCACGCGGTGTCATTCCATGCCCTGCACAGTGTTTACAGGATTGCACGGACAGGTCACGGAAGTGGAGAGGGCGCGGGAGGCCGGGCCCTAAGGGAGGATCTGGGGTGCTGCGACGGCCTCCGTCATGGTGGGAGCTGTTTCGGTCCGCAGTGTATGGGCAGAGGACGTGTCTCTTTTTTGACCTCGTGCCACCTTGGTTTGGATCCTCGACGAGCTGCCGTGGCCAGGCGGAGCTGTACCAGAAAGAGCGGCAGCAGCGACAGGAGAGGAAGCAGGCGCCATGGTTTTTGCCGGAGAGGAACGTGCCAACAAAACAAATCGAAGCCGAAGTCGCCGAAGTCTCTTAGTTCGACCTTTGTGGGGTGTGAGGCGAACATGCAGCGCATCGGCGAGGCTGGAGCTGAGGTTTCTTCAGTTCGTATTAGACTGCGAGGGAGTTGCCGTCTGTCCGTCATTCTCCTTCTTTCACAATATATATCTCATGAACAAATTAGGCTTGTTATGTTCGTTGTTTTACAGTGTTACCACTTTATCTGAGGGGAGGTGACAAGAAGCCTTCCAAGAGCCAGGATATGAAGCGCCGGGCAATCCTGCGAGACCGGAAACGCATTGAGTCCAAGGTCAACGAGGCCTGTCGGGGAGGTCGGTGTAATGACGGTGCAGGAGTGTAGGAGTTTAGGTACCGCTGGTTCTAAAGCTGTAAAGAAGCATCTCATCTCGCCGAACTCAGCTCAAGTGGTACAAAGTTGCCCAAGCATTCCTGGCTAATGAGCCTCCGGAGCCATGGTGTATGGCCTGATGATCCATTCCGTCCCTGTCCTCAGCTGGCGCCCAGCGCTTTTGTGGTGCTTTGGAAAGATGTAGCCCAAGGTGGATTCCAGTCAGACGCTACACTTTTCCATCTTCTACACGCCCGAGGAGACATTCACTGCATCACTTCTTCATCGTTCTGCGTGCCGGGCTGAGCAGGGCAACAATACCTACAAGAAGACCCGGCAGCAGACGATCATGCGACGAATCTTGGAGGATCGAAAGGAGAGGGACTTCCCACGCCTTGTGCCATCTGTGCTGGTGAGGAGCATCTTTTTCAGACTCACTCCGGTGACCAGCACACGGTGGTCAAGTCCAAGGCTTGCACTGACACACCTTCAACTGTGCGAAGCGTGCAATTCAGAGAGCAAGAGAGACAGCAGGTCTCGTCGCTGGACGATGCGGACTGGCCCGGGCCTACCAGAGCACTCAGAGCTCTGTGCACGAGAGCAGAGAGTCCTTCCGTTTCACTCGCCCTGTGCCGTGGACCCATGCTCGCGCCCATGCTCGCGCCTGTTGAGGCTCTTCCGCTTCTCCTCAGACACGAAGCCCGCCGGCAGCCCAAGCACGGCAGGCCGCAGGGGTCAGGGCCAGGGCCCCGGAGCGGGCGAAGCGCCGAGGCGGCTTACAAGGCCCAAGCCGGCTTCGACTACACCGAGGGCATCCTGCGGCTGCAGGAGAGTCGTGTGTTTCTATGGGAGGCTGCACTCTACAGCGCGGACTGCTTGCTTGGGAGCAAAACCCTTCGCAGGCCTCAAGCCTCTTCGAGTACCCAAAGCTGGTGGTCTGGAAACACGTGGATAAGGCACCGAACGACTCGCAGGGGCCCGCACAGATCTCGCTTCTGCGAGGTGGTTTACACCCTGATCTGCGAGCCCTTGGATAATCCCTTGCTGGCATCCAGCTTCCTAACGCTCTTCGTGCACGAGGTGGGCCGCTGGCTTCAGAAACCATGGCATCTCAGAGTCTGGAAACCTGGCAGTTGAGCGACCACTTCCGCAAGGCTCAGAAGAAGTGGGTGAAGTGGGTGTAGGGTTCAGAGTTGAAAGCTGGCTCGGATCAGGCTGGGAGCCTGGTGGATGAAGTCTCTGCTCGTCCCGACGAGGTCTTGGCCATCTTGGCGCCCTAGCGGCCCTAGCTCTCCCCACCCTCGCTCCCTTCTCTCCCCTTCTCTCCCTTCCCGGACTGGCTGAGAACTTCATGCTTCCTGGCGGCCAATTGCTCTTCGTCAACTCCAACCTCCATCGCTTCAACAAGTCGCAGATCTCGCAGGCCGGGATCTTGAACCGGGCCCCTGTGAGGCCGATTCTTATCACGTCATACATATGATCACTGCATCATCGCATCCTTTTCTGAGTGTGACGCTCAGGTGCTGAGCCAAAAGGCTTGAGCTAGGACGGGCCGACACTCGCACCCACAAGCGGGCGATTGCGGGACACCCGGGGAGCGCCAACGAAATGTGGGCTTCTCCGCGAGCCGCGCCGCGAGCGCCTATTTATTCGTTTTTCTTCGCAGATTCGTCGCAGCTGCGCAGGCCATCGAGATGGCGCGGCGCTCCAAGCTGAAGCGCCAGCGTCTCTTCTGGTTTCGCCGGATGGAGACCCTGTCGAGGCCCGGACTTTTGGGCGGGGGAGAGCGAGAGATGGGCCAGAGTGACAGCTTGACAGGCTGGTGGTGTCCTCGGAGAACTTGGAGGAGGCGTTCGCGGCTTTCCCAGACTCACAGGCCCAGGGCCCTTCCAAGCCAGAGCGACAGGAGACTTGGCGCTACAGTGCAGTCCGCTACAGGCTCCCTCGTCCTCGGGCAGCACCACGAGCAGCCCCTCGTGCGCACGGCTCGCTTTCAACTCTTTGCGTTGCCTTGTTCTTTCGCTGATTTCGCGCCCCTCTGGTGCCAGGGGTGTGCTCCTGAGTCGGAACGTCTCCATTCCCTACTTGCTGCGCCAGTTCGGTGGCTCCAAGGTCGGAGCAGGGACGGGGGGCTAGGATCCGCTAGGCAAAGAGTTCTTCTCTGGACAGCCGCGAGGCTGACCCGCAGCAGAAGAACCGCCGAATTCCGGGCATCGACAACGTCAAGCGCGAGGCGAGGGCTGCCTGGTGCCGTCTCGTGTCTTCTCCGTCGTTGCGGGCGCGCCTTCGCCGCCGGGCAGATCCTGCAGATGTCCTATGACATCCTCGGCGAGGCTCTGCCTCTTCTGGTCCCTCTGACTCTTGTTTTGTGTGTTTTTCTTGGTGCAGGACGAGGAGCGCTACGAGGCCGAGGTCCCGCAAGAGGCCGATTGGAGGAGCCGTGCCCAGCAGCGCCTCGGCCGCGAGAGACGACGTCTCTGCGACAGCGAAGAGCCCTCCCTCTCGTCCCTCTCTCTCTCTCTCGCACTCTCTCTCTGTGTCTTTCTGAGCAGATAAAGTCTGAGGCTCTATGGCGATGGCATCTTCAATCATGAGCAGAAGATGGCTCTCCTCGACCAGAAGATTGCCATGCTGAAGGGGTTCGGGTCGCGGGCCCTTCGGGCAGCGTTGTCTTGAAGCCTCGCGGCCGTCTCAGGGCGCAGAAGTTCGAGGAGCAGAAGGGCCGGGCGGACCTGATCACCACGAAGCTGCCAAGCGGCATCCCGCAGCCTGCAAAAGGGTTGCGCAATGCGGGCTCACTGAGGCTCATTGACGAGCTGGAAGCGGTGAGGGAAGCGGAGCTCGAAAAATCACAGCAGGAAGAACTGAAGGCCGCTATGGATAAGGAGGCTCCGACCTGATACTTATACCTGACCCTGTCACTTGGAGGCAAAGCAACAAAGCCAGCGCGGAGAAGACCCGCAGGGAATGCCCGCGTACGATCCAGCCGGTCGCATCACTTGATGCCCTGATGCCGCACGCGCCGAAAAGAGAAGCTTTCCAGTAGTCTTTGGAGCCTGCCAGCTGCCACTGCCTGCAGCATATCAGCATATCTGCTGTCTCTGAGCATCACCGTGAGAGCCCAACTTGGCCGACAGGAGCTCCATTTACGGAAGCTGTCATCGGCATAGTAGAACGCCGCATGGGCAGTGGCACGCAACGGATCAGGGCATTTTTAAGGCAGGTCTGGTCAAGGCCGGAGATGGGGACGCTGAAACCCTTCCTTTCGCGCGCCGCAGAGCAGACATGCCCATTTCCTGTAGTGCCGAGTCCCAAGAGTCGCAGCCCTTCCCGGCATGAATGGCGCGCCCTCGTCCTCTAAGCCAGGAGCTGAGTAGAGCCTGTAGCCGGTCCCCCTGCAGCCCTCAGCCCAGACCGCATCCCAGCATGCCGCGCCATGTGGCCATCATTGGAACAGGCTCCGCCGGCATGGTCACAGCCCTGTCTTTGAAGCGTGAGTTCGGTGACGATGTCGACATCCATGTCTACGACCAGAGCAAGAGCTTCAATCTGTCGCAGGGTGTGGAGCTCTCGCCGGGTCCTCCCTTCCAGGTTGTGATGAAGGCCTTGGGCCACGATGTGGAGGCGGTGATGAAGGAGTACGCCTGCGAACACAACACCGCCACGGTTTCCGACTCCGCAGGAAACCGCATCCCATTCGTCGAGGAGATCATTGAGAGCACGGGCATCTACAAGGGAGTGGCCGGGAAGACCCCTGAGGGCGACGTGGTCGAATTGGCTCGATTCAGCATCAACCGGGGCATGTTCATGTCCATTCTTCAGGACGAGTTCTTCAAGGCCATGGGAGGTAAGGATGCTGCCTCGAAGCAGCTGCACTGGGATCACAAGTTGGAAGAAGTCCTGCAAGAGCCGGAGGGCAAGAAGACACTCCGCTTTGCCAATGGCGAAGAAGTGACGGGCGTTGATTTGGTCGTCGGAGCGGATGGGGTTCATTCTGCGGTCCGAAGGGCCTGCTTCGATGATGTCCCTGCGACCCATGTTGGCGCCAACATCATCTACGGTGTCGTCCCCGGCACCCCCGATATCTACCACGAACACGCCTTCAACATCGTTGTGGCAGCCACCTTTTCCATGGTGATCTCCCAGATCGTCGACAGCGAGGGTAAGAGGATGACATGGTGGGCCATGGTCCACACGGACCGCGAGAAGCACGATTCTCCCACAAGCTCACCGAAGGCCTACCGCGCTTTCTGGGAGTCCAAGGCGGACGTGCAAAAGCTCGCTCATGACCTCGTGGCGGAGGAGGAGGGCGACACTTTGCCAAAAAAGTTCGTGGCTTTAACCCCAGAGGAGGGCTTCCGTTATGCCGGCTTCTTCTTAGACCGCGACCCAACCACTTTGAAGCATTGGGGCAACGGCGAACTGGGCGCCGTGTGCATCGGCGACGCTGCGCACGCGATCCAGCCCTGGGCAGGCATGGGTGCGTCTTTGGCAGCCGAGGATGCCTTTGTCCTGGGCAAGATGATCGCTAAACATGGCTGGGACAAGCTCCAGAACGCTTTCGATGAGCTCCAGGCTCTGCAACTCCCCCGCGTCCAGTTCTACAGGCAGATCACCATGAACAATGCACCAAAGGGCATCATCTCTGAGGACCAGATGGTCCCCATCGAGCAGGTGGTTGAGCAGTTCGGTGATCAGCGTGGTATTGAGGCGTGCCCTGCATGGAAACAGTTCTGCGAGACATTGCGCCTAAAGTCGGCCTAGACCATCCTAGACCTGGAGACCTAGAGGGCCTGATAGATGCTGCCACGTGCGGGGATCAAGTGTTTAGAGGGCGTTGTGTCCTTTTCCAGATCGGGGACGCGAAGGCGTTTTGCCCTGATCAGCACAACCACTGTGCTGGGAGGCAGGACTTGCCTGCTCCACTTGTTTAGTTTCAGTGCCGCCGTCAGATTTCGAACAGCGACTGGAGAAAAGGAAAGACATGATACTAATGTTTAATCATCACATCCAGCAGTTGCTAATGAATGATGAGTTCTTAGAAGACTACTTTATGCTATT